CCAAAGCGGCGGAGGCCTTGAGCGATTCACCGACAGCCAACAGAGCGTGTGAGTGACTCTCCGGACCCACGTGATGAGCAGAGCAAGGCCGCCGTGGAGGAGGCGAGGGGGAGATTTGACGGGGGAAAGTTTCCCCCCGGCAGAGTTGACAGGGCAAAATCCCCCCCCCCCCCCTCCCCCCCCCCGCTGCCGGAAGCGGAGCGCCGTACGATTTGCCAGAGTCGTGTGTTTCGTAGTATCCTGTTTGGACACCCTTTCGAAGGCCTGTACAAACAGGCGATTACAAAAATCGTCAGGCCACACGACTCCTGCAAAAATCGTCAAAATTGAAGTGTCCGGTAGTCGTCGATCGTATGTCTGTTTGGACCATGGAGAATAGAAGGGTAGGAGAGGGCATGACGTCAGCCGCGTAGCCTTCACAAGCCATGCTCCTTTGAGGCCTCGCCTTTCTCATTTTCCTCCTTTCTCTCACATCACGTGACCGCAGCTAGCCTCCGATCTGATAAAACCTACCGGACGGAGCGCGCGCAAGCCTGCAAGGAATCCTGCTACAATCAACTAGTGCCACAAAATAAGCTACGCTTCAGAGTAACGACACTTGGCCATATTGTGGCTTAAGATCATGGTTGCCAGTTATCTGAAGCTTTATCTGAAATCACAGGAAATGCTTTTCCGCCCTTAACAAATGTTTAAACCGTTCGCGACAGAGCAAAGCAATATTACATGACCTTCCTAACACCGAATCTAATGCTGAGTAAGTCGCACTTTGAATCATGACGATCGTCCGTTGCGTCTGTTGTGCATACGAGCCAAAATGGCGGCGCCCACAACAATGTCGGGGAACGGAGTGCCTAGGAGTGCCGATACTCTAAGCGCAGCTTATTTAGTGGCTCTACAATCAACCATCCATCTCGCACGCGACGTGTCACGCGCACCAATCGTTTAAACTTTTTATCGTGGAGCGAAAGCTCGCGCTGCAGAACCCAGGGATCCTGGGTTCGAGCCCCACCCCTGCCCGTTTCGATCTGGATGAGCATCGTAACGGCGTGCGGTCGTGTACCACTACTGCGTGGTGCACGTTAAAGACCCCAGGCTAGCGGTTGTATACCGCACTGGCTAAATTGCTCATCTACAGCTGGGAGACTCGTCGACCCTGTGAGGCAGACCAAGTTCTAGGCTGTATAAACATACACACAACCCAATTTTTTTTTTTTTAAACTTTTTATGACTAAGTTTTACCAATATTGCAACGTGCCCCCTCCTAGTACTTCTAACCTCCTTGGTTTGGACACCGGCCAAGCCAAATTCACGACTTTCCTCCTCGCCTCCTCCTTTTTTATTTGACGTCGGTGCTCGTCAGACTTGACGTCAAACGCCACCTGCCAATGGTGTTCCTGATGCCTGTCCATCTCCCGCGGCTCACCAAGTCGCCGACCTTGCTACCGCCGTCACCTCGGCAGGAAAGCCAAAGAGGTCCGGCTTCGGGTGGATTTGGGAGATTCCTGCGTCGAAGCGCGCGTTTCGGCCGCACCGGCTCAGCTTTCTTTTGACAAAATCCACGTTCGTGGCTCGAAAAAAAAAAAAAAAAAATAATAAAGTGCAGTGCACTGAGAACTTAAGAATATATAATCTATTTTATTAAATTCCAAACCAACCAGGAACAAGAGCCGCGGGAATCCCATGGGCCATCCAATCCACAGAACTGCTGGAAGATGACACGACGCGCGCTCGCCTGGCTTTCCCCCGTCACCCTCGAGTCTTCCCTTTCCCGTTTTCGGGACTTCCAAAGCGGCGGAGGCCTTGAGCGATTGACCGACAGCCAACAGAGCGTATGAGTGGCTCTCCGGACCCACGTGATGACCAGAGCAAGGCCGCCGTGGAGGAAGCGAGGGGGAGATTTGACGGGGGGCGGGGCGTTGTTGTTGGGCGGGGGGGGGGGGGAGTGTCCCCTCGGCAGCTTTGACTGGGGGAAATTCCCTCCTCTCCTCACTCACTCACCCCTCCCCCCCCCCCCCCTCCCCCCGACAGCCGGAAGCGGAGCGCCGCACGATTTGCCGTAGTCGTTAGTTTGGACACCCCTTTGACCCGGCGTACACGCCAGAGTGGTCGGACTAGTTCGGGGTGGCGACGGCGGCGCGCCACCGAGAAAAAATCGGGGTGTGACGAATTAGTTGGATTTCAAATGTCGATTGCGAAGAGAAAAGCGAAACATATCTCCCGCGCGCTTATTCTATAGAAGTGCAACATCAACCTGTTGCAGGTTCAGAATAGCAGGGCCAGCACCTCCTACGAAGTTCTCTGCTCGCCACGATTGGTAGTTCTCTCTGCCAAAGTGGAAAGAGGGCTTTGTGGGACAAGCTTGCCTCACTATTCTGAACGTGCACGACACTGAACGCGACAACGGCACTTTTTTGCACTTTAATTCGAAACTACAGGGTGAAACAAGGAGACGCCAGGCTCTTTAAATCGACCGGAAAATTCGGTTTCTTAACCTATCGCGCTACGACTTTGTGCAGCGTTGCCTACAGATGGTGCATTTTTTTTTTTGTAAAATTTGCGAAGAGCGAATTTACCTGAAGAAAAAGCAAAGAAAGAAAAAGGCTTAGCTCCTATGGAAACGCAGCGACGCCACCTGTCTTCAAACAACACGGCGCCGTATCGCACGGGAGACAAGAGATGGCGCAACAAACGCCGCCAACGAACGAGCATACGGCGCCAAGAGCAGGCCTTTTTAGCAGACGATCTTTTCGACTCAAAAGCGGCGCGCGTTCCGCAGGCGGCGACAGTCGCAGAAAAAAAAAAAAAAAAAGAGACAGGCGCGGTAAGAGCAAGGAACTGCAGTTCCTTGTCCGCAAAAGGGCCGGCTCTCGGCGTCGTCTGCAGTTGGCGTCGCGACCGCTTGCGCCATCTCTTGTCTCCCGTGCGAAACGGCGCCGTGTTGTTTGCAGACCGGTGGCGTCGCCGAGTTTCCATAGGAGCTAAACCTTTTGCTTTCTTTACTTTTTCCTCGGGTAAGTCCGCTCATCGCAAATTTTACAAAAAAAAAAAAAAAAATGCACCACCTGTGGGCAACGCTGCACAAAGTCGTAGCGCGATAGGTTAAGAAACCGAATTTTCCGGTCGATTTAAAGAGCCTGGGGTCAGTGTGTCGAACCGAAAAAAATACGGGTTCGGTTACGGTTCAGGTTCAGGTAAATTTATTTTGTTCCGGTTCAGTTCCGGTTCGATTAATTCGATCCGCGAACCGGTTCGGGGCGCTGAACCGGTTCGCGAACCGGTTCGGAAATTATAAATGACAAATTGCAGCATCAAAATAAATTACAAATAAAACATCTGAAATCAGCACATTCGAAACGGGATACATCGTAGTGTAAGGCTCAGGGATTTCTACCAGGAATGGTTTCTTTATGTGCACTCAAAGGCTACCTCACCGACGTTACGCATTCGGACTTCATCTAATTGGGTCCGACGCAGTAGCTGTAAAATCCGCGACCTCCTTACAAACCCACTTACAAGTAGAACTTGCTAATTATCCCGCCACCTCGGCGTGTAATCAATTGAAGGAACAGTGGGGAGAAAATACAGCTTTCTTTATTTGAACTAGCCTTCGGTAACTCAAATTAGACCCTTTAAGAATTATTCATTAAACAAGATACGGAATATGAAAAACACTTCACCGAACGCAACGCCAGAAGGACGTAATAGGATAAATATTAAAATAGAAGAGTTCGCTGTCTCACAAATATGTTAGCTTCTAAGTGCCTATACGAAACCGGATGCATTATTATCAAACTCCACAGCCTTTTCCTTTCTCATTCCGATGGAAGCAAGCTTCAAGAACTCGCGCGTTCTAGAAACGTGTTATGAAATGAGCACACAGCAGCATTTAGGATTTACGAAATTGTAGGAAAATAAAATTCCGTGACGCGATTTTTTTTTTTTTTGCACAGTTTTTTAATTCTTTTTCGTGCAAGCCGCGACCAGCGCAATACTGGTTCCTATGTCAAGATTCATGGATGCAGCGTTTGTCAAGATTCATGGATGCAGCGTTTATATTCCTAAGACTGAGTGGAGAAGAAAAATATGTAAGCGAGGTGTGTCAGTTGACGGCACTTAAAAAAACAAATGGCATTGATAGCACATTCATTGTCAACAGCGCGTGGCCGAACCGTTTTGACATGAGCCGGTAACCGTTTTTTTTTTTCCGGTTCAGTTCCGGTTCGGGTTCATCGCGATAACAATATAACGGTTCGGGTTCGGGTTCAGTTCCGGAAAAAATACTGGTTCGGTTCCGGTTCGACACCCTGCCTGGGGTCTCCTTTTTTCACCCTGTATATTGGTGGGCAGCCAACTTTACTGCTTAGGTTAGTGCCCTAGGTCAACACTTTCCACCGTAGCAGGGGGTGTTCCAAAAAAAGTTTCCGAGGTTTTTCTCGGCGCAAAATAGAGTATGCATGACTGCACGCCCATTCTCCACTCAAAGGTAGCGTTACAGGCACGAACCAAAAGCCAACGTTTCAGCACAAGCCCATATTTTATTTAAAAGTTATAAATGATCTGAAAATTTCAATGAGGAAAACGGGGGCCATTTTCGCCCGTTTTCAGCTCCTGGCGCCATAGAGCACCATGTATTTCCCATTTTCCGACCGAAATTTAAAAAAAAAAAAAATCATTTTTAACTTTTTAATAAAATATTGGTTCACGCTGAAACTTTGGCATCTGGTTCAAACCTTTAGCGCTACCTACGGGCGGAGAATGAGCGTTCGGTGATCCATAGTTTCGTTTTTGTGGTGAAAAAAAAACCTGTAAAGTTTTTTTGGTGGACATCTGGTAGCTTTGAGTACAGCCTTTCTACCCTCATAGAAAAAAAGAAACAGAAAAAACCAACCATCATTTGTTCGCACTAAAAGTGTACATTTTTCGTGGATCGCATCTCGCCAAGGGCCAGGAGCCCGTGGCCCTAGCCCCGCCACGTGGCCCCGAGAGACAAGCAGACAAGCTCCAGCCGAGTGCTCTTTATTGGCGTCCCAGGCAGGCAGGGAGCAACGACACATGGCACCTTCGTCCTCGCTTTCTACACGCACGCAACAGGCACGCTGCGCACACACCCGTGGCCCCTTGCACAAGTCCCGGAAGAAAAAAGAAGGCAAAGCAACGCTGTAAACTTTATGTAAAAGCAGAAGCCTACAGTAGACATCGGGGCGTCGTGCACAACAACAACAACGAAGAAAAAAACAAAGGAACCGGAGTGGGGGAGGGAAGGACCAAAAAGGCCCGGAAATCAAAGCCGGCTGCGAGGGGGCTTTTCCCGTCCCAACAGTGTGGGTGCCGCCGCACGTGCAGCTGCGCGTCCTCTTGGCTGCATCTACGGCTGGAGAGAGAGCACGGGGGCGGCGGCGGAGTCCCAGGGAGAAAATGCAGTGGAAGAGATGCTCCTCTGGGAGGAATGCGCACGGACGATGCAGAAGCCTCACTTCTTGCCCGAGGAACCCTGCGTGGAGCGCGCATGCACACACGGTTATACGTGGCATTACACGTGGCAGCTACACTATGTTTCAGTCATAGTTATTGGGAAAGCCTAGGGTGCCTCAATGTCCTGTTGTTTAGGGTGATGCCGTCCTTCGTAGTACCCGATGCCCGCAGCACGCGCTTACGGGGAAAATACAAAGAAATCGTTGAGAACAAAATGTTGCTGTAGCACAGTCAACCCCAAGAGCCTGTGTGGGGAACACTCTTTTACGCAATTCTGAACAAAAAAGTAAAAGAAGCGTTCGAAACAATGCCGGATGTCATCACCCTAAGCAAAGTGCAGATGAAGGCATCCTAGGAAAGCCAACCACCTGCAGCACTTTCCCCCCCCCCCCCCCCTCCCCCTCCCCCTCCAGAGCTTTTAGAAGTGCTCGAAGAACTAATGGAATAGGACACACCAACAAAACTGGCCTATCGCCAGTGGCTGTACCAGTGGCTGTAAGACGCTCTGCCAATGACACGATACAGCGAGGTCGTAATGGCATGTCGGATGCATTCGGCTGGCAAATCTTAGTACATACATCATAAAATGCCACTTGGAAACCACTAATCTAAACGAGACGAACGTTAAACAAATTACTTCTTTTGGGCATAATGGTAAGAGTCCAAACAGATTTACTCATGTACACGCTAAAACCCCAAATCCAAAAGGCAGAATTCTGACAGATCCATTGCACAATGCATTGCACATGGCCTCAAACCATTCATTGTTGGCACTAGATGAACACATTACCTAACCTCCCAGAAAATAGGGGCTAGAAGACGACCTGAGTGCCCCTATGAAACCCTCAATCTGCACTTCAGATGCAGCTAATAACCATTGAAGAACAAGCTTACCTTTCGCATCTGTTACGGTGGGAAAGGAGAAAAAACGGCGAGTATTACAATGAAGCGCAAGTTAGTACGAAAAGAGAAGCCACGTGTGATGTCGAACATGCACCATTAAACCATGCTGAATAATAGCATGATGGCAGGGCCATTAATGGTACCTCCCTTCACCCCTACCTGAGTTCCATACCTCCCAGGAATAATGTTACTCTATCCAAAAGACAAGTATATCAGTTGCTGCTAACAGCTTTAAGGAAGCTTTCAGGATAAACCTTGTAACGTACCATTCTAAATAAAAAAAAAAATACAATTGTGTTTACCAAGTTGAATGCACCATGAAATCTTGCGTGGCAACATTATGCCGTATATAACGAGGCCTGCATCTATGTATGAAACTAGAAACAGTATGAAAGGTTAATGGATAAGCAGACAGATAGTTCCCGCACAGCACATTGAAGAAATATTAAAGCACCCAGAGAGAAACAGAGCCACAGGACAAGAGGACACCAGCTGATGAAGGTGGTGCAGGTAGCAACTGCACCAAGCACACACATGCAAACACGGCATAAGGTTTGCCAGAGAAAGGCACCTACTGGCGCACCCACGACACCATATTTCCGAGGCAGTATTAGTATGCCGCGCAGACCTAGTCGTTGCACCATGGCCCCGCGTCTCCCAAAGCCGACGCCTTCTCAGATGGTGACCGCCTGCCCACGAGGCACCCAGCCACCTGCCCTAGTGCCCAGCCTCAGTTGCTGCCAGGCCTAGGGAACTGCCAGACCCAGATAACTGCCAGGCCTAAAGTTAGGGACAGGCCTAGAAGACAGCCAGACCTAAGGGACTCCTAGACCCAAGGGCCCGCCAGACTTGGGGGACCGCCAGGCCTAGGGAACTGCCAGGCTGACCCATACACCACAAGCACACTGCAACCTTCCCAGGCTCGGATATGCTCTCGCAATCACGCGGGATGAGGGTGTCGCTTCCAAGTCACAAGACCAGCTCCCACCACCGACGGCCACCAAGTTGCAAAGGTAACCAAGAGCCCCACAGGCAAGCCACGCGTGGAAAAGCCCCGAGCAAGGAGGAGGCGCGGGAAGGGACGAGTCCAGACAAGTCCATACTAACGGGAGAAGCAAGGAGGGACAGCCGGGGGAGATTCCACGGAGCCTCATTTTTTGCTCTTCTTCCAGAATTTCAGCCGTAACTGAGAAAGAAACCAAAACCACTCAAGGTCACTCGGGCGTGTCCGACAGGGTCGTGCCCAAGACTAACTGAAGGCAGGCGGGCCTCCAGGGTCGACAACACCGCATCCACGGTAACCGCAGAGCGAGGAAACCCCAGCAAGACAAGGGCCATAGAGACCACGGTGTAAGCTTACAGACGACATACAGCATATGTGTGGATGCCACTTGGCTAAGTACAGCCGTACATGTGCCAGGGATTACATGGGTGAAGACACTTCCATAGTCATGAACCGAGTGCGTGCAACTAGTCTCTAGAAAGCCTCCTGGGTGAAGCATCAGCTGCTGTTCAGAATATGTATGTGTGTCTTAACTGATGTCTTTCTGCACATTATCTAGATGCGTTAAAGCGCAGTTCACACACTTGCAACCGAATAGGACGGAAAGAGACAAGACCGGTTGTACTCCGTCACAAGTGTGTGAACAAGCCTTAAAGAGCCCGCATTATTACGAACTAGGGCAGAAACTCTCAAGCTTTTCAGTCTCAAGAAACCCACATCTCTTTCCAACGATGACCGAGGAACAAAGCACAGTTTCGGCACCTATGCAATAAAGCAGCATAGAGGCGTACACTCCAAGTATGTACACACAATGCTCCGTTCACCCTTACAGAGCAGAAAAGGCTACAAATGCGAACCAGCACATGCTCCTTGCCTCGAAACATGCCTTTCCAGCGCAAGTGATCATGCTTTGAAAGCACTTTTTAAAGCAGTAATCTCGTGCCTGTAACTTTAGCTGCCCTGTAAGCTTGAAAACGAAGTAAAGGAAGTATTTGGCTTGTAGCTTGCACGAGCAAGTGGCTCAGATTTGCTCAAATAGTGCTTGAACAGGAGACATTTAGGAGGCCGAGATGATAGAAGAAATCTGGAAGGTTTCATAACTCCTTGTTGACAGTGTGGATAAGTGTCAGGACAGTTGACAGAGGTTGCACCAGAAAGGCCACCTCACAAAGCCCTAGTCTTTGGAGGAATATAGCACACTATGCAAATCATATTTGGACCTATGCTTTCCCCTGAATGCTCACAAAGTGGGCATGTGCAAACAATTTCTAACTCTGGTCGAAATGAGGAGCGAGCTCAGCTACCATATTCTTCGGCTATCTGTACTAGATATAACGAGTTCAAAGCAAATAAAGGTTTTGGCCGAATCTTTTAAAATAGAATATTAAGTGGTTTCTCTAGGCCTTTTATTACTGCAACATGCTAAAACAAAACCCCAGCTGAACTAGCGAAGGTTGCTGCCAAGCTTACACTTTTCCATCTCTAAGCTGAGTTCATGTGGGATGGCAAGTAAATGATGCATGTGACATAAAATTAAACATATAAAGATGTCTAGGTGTACCTAATTGAGGGGATTATAAATACTCTTGCTATATGAAAATATATTTTCTCAAATCACACATGGTTAGTGCAAGTTGTTAAGGCATCTCTGCTTAACACACACCCATGCATGCCAGTTTAATTTTAAATTTTTTACTGCAATGTAGATATCAACGTTTACAAAGTTTCCGCTTCTTTCTAAGTACACCAGGCACCCATGTGCACTATCCCGCTTTGGAAACAAGCTTTCCTCTGAGCATATGGCTGCAATATTCATACTTTTCGGTTGATCATGGATGGTTAGTCTCCTTGAGTGCGCTTCTTATCAAAGCACCGGTGCTCTGCAGAGAAGCCACACCCACGAAACCGAGCTCTGTGGGGTTGTTTTCCCGCAGTGCACGAGTGCCCAGTAAGAAGTACATTCAACGGGGCTAACCTGCTGCAATCAACACTTAAAAAGCCCCTGAAAAGAAAAAAAAAAAAGGTTTTTTTGAAGCGATCTAGTTAAAACATAACGGTAAAAAAAAAGAAAAAAAAATCTTTTTAGAACATTATTGATGACGAGATTTATTTATAAATTCTGCGAGCAAAGTCCATGACGTCACAGAATGGTCATTCACTCTTTCCACCTCAAGCCAATCCAACTCTCCTCCATGCGCCCGAAATGCCGAGAGAAAACAAGTGGAAAGGAGCTGACTACCAACTAAATCGCGGCTCGCGCCGTCAATATTGCTCTAAAAAATTTTTCTTTTTTTTTTTTCGAGTAAATTTAAGTTTTTGACACGCATGTTCCAATAAGACTGTTAAAAAAAAAAGGCTTGAGGTACACCTAAGCACTTCTTAAGAGTTGTGAATGTGAAAGCATGAGTGCCATTCTTGTGCGCATTCTTGTGAAGCGGGCGTGCCGCGCTGACATCGGCGTGCAGCCGCCCCAGAGTACGCCCCAGCGAGCTCTGGTCTGGGAGGCCCGGCTAGCCCAGCCAGCCGGGCACGCTCTGGCGCGGCACATAGCACGGGCACATAGCGATCCTGGCATGCTCTGGCACGAGAACGTGGCGCCATGGGGTGGCTCTCCTCGAAACCGATGTGCGACGGCCCTATTCATCAGATTTGAGCTTCATTTGGCTGTCGTTTTGCGTGGCTTTTTCTGCGGCTTCAAAGCTGGGATGCCTCAGATCGCAGCTTCACTTCCCTCCATTCGGAGAGGGGAATTTAGCTGCCGTTTGGTGCGGCTGATGACGTGTGCTTGGTCCATGGAACTGCTAATGCTTTTGCATTAAAACATTTTTTTTTTCTTTTCAGTGGCCCTTTAAAAAAGTATGAATATCCCAGGTTATCCCAAAGTAAATATTGAATAGTGTATTACTTGAAACTACTATTTTAAAATTAGAATATTTTAATAAAATTAGGTTCTTTAAAACTTCGAACAGCACCCATCAAGCAACATTATGGTCATGTTTGCTGATACAGCACCCAGAGACAAATGAACTTGCGAATCATCACTTTTTGTGGCCTTCATAATTTCTTCTTCAAAAAAGTTACAAAGGTCTACCGGTCTCAAAGATAATCAGAAAGAAGTGAAAGCACTGAGAAATTGGTCTGACAAAAATGCATGTAATGTTAATTATAAAATGACCCCTAAAAAAAAAAAAAGATGTTTCACATTAGTGTATGTATATCTAAAGGTAATCTTAGCTGCCAAGTTCCTAGTGCTACTATTCTGGTACAAATCTCGTTAATTCAAACTCAAGGGGGACCGAAAATTTGTTTGAATAAAGCAAAGTCTGAATTAACTGGAGTTTCCTCCCATAGAGACACATAAATGGGACCTGCATGTTAGTTTGAATTATCCACAAGTTTGAATTAAGAGAGTTTGAATTAACGAGATTTGGTACTGTAGTCTTACTGTTGACATATACTTCTCTTCACTCGCACACCCAAACCCGGATATCATTTGCATATTTTATTTTTTTTATGAAAATGTTTTTTATAAGTGAAATTGGAAGTGTTGATTGTATGTGCACAGAGCAACTCGGATCGCGCAAACAAAATGCTACAACTTTACGCAATTCAGGTCAACGTCAAACACTAAACTTTTCACGCAAGAATACTCCACTGCACTGACAGCTTTGGTTGCAATCAACTAATTTCGAAAGAAATCACAAAAAAGAAAAAAAAGAAAAAAGAAGATTGCACATTTGGGCTAACTGCGTGGCACTCTCTACAACAAGCTTCGGTCATGGCTGACGAAGTTGAGGAGGAAGCCGCTTCCTGTCTGAAGATTTGCCAAGATCCTGGCCTTGGCAAACCTGTCCTATCTGTTCGTTTGTCCGGTACTCCCCAACGACTGGTGCTCCGATTAAAGTGCAGCGAGGGTGCAGCAAGCAGAGAAGGATGCGCAGCAAGCAGTCCACCAACCAAGGCAGACGGTGCACAGGGTTAGTCGCCTCAAGCAGCCCCATGACCCCCAGCACAAGGAGAGATGCGGGAAAACAAAAGCCGGTGCAAGAGGCCCCGTCGTGGCACCACACAGAGAGACAGCATTGTGCACAAGCATGGCAAGACGAGCCTCGCAAAATAAAAAAAAAAAAACCCCGCAGTCGCTCTTCCGTTTCGGTGCCAAACTTCTCGTAGGACGTCACGTTGACCGCAAACCGACCTCTACGGTCTCACCTCGTCTTCAAACAGCACCCTTGAAGATACAATATGACCGGGATAAACAAAGTACAGCGTACAAAAGACACTGTGTTTGCTGCAGAAACAATGACAGAATTTTCTACGAACACGCATCGGTCAGCGTCTGCAGACGGTCTTTTGCATCATGTATTCGCAGTGCGACCATGGCTCTAGGCACACAGTCGCCGGTGGTTTTGCGGAGCCAAGGGAGAGGTGCAGACCCAAGAAACCTCCGTAGTGTGCAAGGACCCGGAAGACCCACTCGTCAGACCCCGAACACCACATTTCACGGCCTCCACGTTGGTGCCACGTTGGTGCTTCTTGAAATCCCATGTTCCAGTGCCTGGCAGTCGGCAAGTCATTGAACGAGCGAGTTGCTCCAAGAAGTTTGTGCGATTCGGAGGCATCGCATCGCGTCGCCTGCAAACGCTCCGCTTCTGGCACCGGCTCAGGCATTTAGGCAACGCGCGGCTGTCCAGCGGATCTAGGCTGGGGTTAGAACCGCGGGTCGGCAGAGCGGGGCTGGGCACGAGGGCAGGTGTCTCCCCACAATTGCGGGCGGACAGAGAGGGCCCCACTCACCCGCAGCCGCTTCTTTGCTTTGTTAGTAGTGGTTTTACGAGCGTCCCCGGCAGATGGAGGGTGTACCGGCCCCTGGCGCAGGCACGGAGGAAGACACCCTTGAAGCGGCAAGCCACAAGCACACAAGCAGAAAGAGAAGAGCCCCGCAGAACCCAACATTCCCCCGTGGTCAGACTCCATCAGCTAGGTGACAACCAGTCGGCACAGAGTGGCCGACTTGCAACGCACGGCGTTACGCAGGTATGCTTGTTCCAGTAGTTTGTTACGTACATCATTCATACAGTGGGCAGACCGTTACGTGCAGTAAGCTTCGTACGAAACTCAACCATTTACCCATAACTTCTTTCTAATTTTTGAACATACCTGTTGACGTCATTTCTTTATTTATTTTTTTCAAGATAGCTTCAATGACTCGTAGCGGGCACTAAACGATGGGGTACACAGTGTGCACTCATTAGTAGGTTTGTAGGAAAGGCTACAAACCTGCTGCAAGCGGCAGCACTGTAGCACAGAATTTCGGCACTGCTGTATTCACCTTTTCTCAAAGCGTAGCGCAGCACTGACCGAGCAAGCAATTTGTGTCGGGGAAAAGGAGCGTCGCTTTGGGAGTGATCTGCGTATGCAGTGTCCCAGTACAACACTAGAATGACACACCTCACACTAGATAAAGCTACTGCAAGGTGTTCTGCAATACGCAGACTTTAGTGGTGACCGGACAAGCTTACACCTTCTGCACACCAAAAACTCAGTCGGAAAAAAAATTAAACTCAATGTGCGTTAACAAAGTTCAAGCCTCCTACCTTACCACCGTCCTACCCCAACCAGAAGCAGGAAGATCGGGGACATATCTACCGTTTCGAAATCCATAAACCTTGCTCGCACTAATTCCAGCACGGATCGAGCAGATGCCACACGTTACCACATTCCCCCTTGCCTGTTACTTTGTCTCACAAACATAATGCCACAATTTGTTATTTAACAATGAACCGTCCCGCAAACAGACCCCAGTCCGTTAAAGGCGCATCCACGGGCATGCTTCCCCCTCGAGGCATGCCGGAAACACCCCTTCCCGACCGACAGAGAAAGAGAGAAGGCCGACGCGGACAGACTACAACGGCAGACGTGGACGCCTCACCTTGTCCTCCTTGTCTGCGGGCGAAGCCACCAGGTCAGGGGCCGGCCCATTGGTGGCCAGGGGAGCTTCAGACCCCACCTGCGACGCACACGTCCCCCGTTTAGGACCCCGCATTTGTAACACTTGGTGCAGCTCGCTTTTGCGATCCCCCATATCTTTGTGGGAGACGGAGCAACACCTCCAGACAGCAAAGTGCCGAGTGCTGTGTTGCCCGTCAAAGAACAGCACAGGGCAGCTGCGGCGGCATTTGGCTGGAACTCGCGTTTGACTGGTGAGGGTAGGTGTCCCGACAGAATGCCGATGGGGCAGTTGCGAGCAATCTGTGCCCAAGTCGGCTTACAGTAGACGACGCAGGAACTTCAGCACTACGGCCTTGCCGTTTAGGGGGTGTTGGACAGAGTGAGTGAAAGAGAGAGATAGTGAGTGAGAGACAGAGAGAGAGCGAGAGACAAAGTAGAAAGTGAGTAGGTGTCAGGAACTCAGAGTGATTGACTGAAAAAGGGGTAAAGAGACAGGTAGAGAGAACAAGAGAGAGAGAGAGAGAGAGAGAGAGAGAAAAGGAGAGCACCTTGGTGGCCCCGTTGTGCGGTGGCGTGGTGTCGAGGGCGGCCAGCCGCTCCCCAGCCGCTGCTCGCTCCTCCTCCAGCTGAGCACGCAGCTCACGCACCTCCTGCACACACACGGCGGAATCCCAAAGAGTTTGCCGCAGACCGCGAGAAGGTCAGACGTATGTCCAGCTACCAGGTTCGAACCCCCAGCCGTGTCAATGCAGAATTCTGCCGCCACGCTCAACAAGTGCCACGGAACGGGCAGCCGCCTACGAACACCAGGTTGCTGCGCTCGCGTGTTTTCCCGGTAACAAAACGAGCTGAAAACTCTAGTCATTAGTGGCAAACCTGTCCCTCACAACACACTCAACAAGGTTGCATCAGACTCGAATGCAACTGGTAGGACGGCCGACTGCAAGCATTGCGCTCAATTCAGCAACATGCCACAACTTGTAACACTGTAGTTTAAACTATGCAATCGTGGGTCCTCTCGAAAGCAAATGACTCAGCAATGGAAACAAAGACACGACGCAAACTTCAAAGCTTCCCATTACCAAGGGCGAACGTGCCCCACATTCCACGCGCCATCCGACTGGCCAAACGCGGGACCCAGCGTCCACCTACCTTCTGGAGAAGGTGGTAGTCGTCCTGTCCCTTCTTCATCTCTTCCAGCACCTGGACTCTGCCTTCCAGGTGAGACTTGACATCCTGAGCATTTCTACTAGCCTGGTCAAAGAAGCAAAGGACAACAATGAACCAAGCCCTTGGCCGGACCCCTGGTCAGAACTACGCTGCCCGTAACGAGTCTCCGACTGAAGCGTTTGGCGTCCTATTCCGCCCACGCATCAAAGTGATTTCGAGGTGGCGACAAACGACGTCGCAAAAACTGGAGTGTCGCCGACGCCGCAATCCCGTCGGTCGGTCGTAGAAGTTCCGACAAAAAGCGGGAGCGAGCGTGAGTGTCGCCGCCGTCAAGCGGAAATAGAGGGACCACTCTTTCGTACGAGGTAAATGCGCCGGTTGGAGACGCGTTCCGGGTGCCGTGACGACTACGACGACGGAGCCTCACCTCGTCGTACTTCTGTTCCAGCATCCTCTTCTCGCTCTCCTCGTCCTGCAGCTTCTCCTGGAGTTCCTTCAGTTTGGCCTGCATCTGGACGGTGGGACAAGGAACACAGCCCCTCAGGCACGGATCACGTCCACGCCACAACCACTAAATATGCTATGCTTTCAGAGCGTCGGCACTCCATTCCCCGATCGCCTCGAGGGTGCCGCCATTTTGGTGCTGGGTGGAGAGTTAGTGGCGATCGCCACGGTTTCGAAATCAGACTTCTCGAGCTTCGGACGGTGCTGGGAAGCTTGGGCAATATCGTTTTGCTCAAACACGAACTGTTTTAAAACTGCTCTTAAGCAACGCTGAAACCAGAGTGAGGTCAAAGTTCCCTGCTCTTTCAATTGACAGTTGCACACGAACAACCTTGACTACCATACTTATTTAAATATAAGTCTACCTTTTTTTTTTTTTTTTTTCCGGATTTGATCAAATTTAAGGGTCGACCTATAATCGTGACCAGAAAATTTCGACCTACCTTCGTGACCAAATTTTGAGACTTTACCGAGTGCATGGAGCTATAGAGTCGCCGATCCCGCCCACCTCGACGTAGTGCGGCACTGCTTCTTGTTTCGGAGAGCTTTTGGTGCACGAAAACCACCCAAAACAGCAGCAGCCGGCAACCCCCACCACTGGCAGGCACTCCTCGGGCCTACCCTGAAGCGTAGCTTATTCAGCGGTTCTAGTCCACACTTCCACCACCATTCGGACGGCCCTCCCACGCACCACGTTACGACCCACAAGCGCAGGCAAAGGAGGAAGAGCCCCAGCCAAGCTTCTGTGCTCGTCCAGAACACCTGGACAGACGCAGCACAGAGTAGCACGGCCCTAAGAGGGTAAGTCTGGGCCGTGCTTAGGGCAAGCATGTCGTCCAGTTGTCCCTGCGCGTCAACGCCACCGGAAGGAGGTTGGAGGAAACGAGTACGAACGACGCCCCGCAAAGGCCCGGAGGGACACAGACCGCCACCCCCACCGAGGCCAAAGGTGCCGGCGTGCCACCCACCTCCGAGGTCGTCTGCAAAAGATTAGAAAGTTCCACGAGTCCCTCAGTGACTCATCTGAGCATCATACTTAGACATAACGTGTCCAAAACATTACCTTTGCCCCCCTATAAAACTCAGTTAATTTTTTTCAGGCATTTTATAGCAGAATGTTTCACCATGCAAAATAAAAGATCCCAACTCCATCTCCCCCTAAAATACTAAAATAAATGCCTTCTGCTTTCAAGAAGCGGACACTCAACCAAAGGTCGCAGAATTATGCCTCGAAAACTCGACGGGCCGAATGCCGTCTCCGCCGAAACGGCACACAGAGGCAAGGAATGTGTGGCGGTGCAGCACCCACCTGCTGCAGTCCCTGCAGCTGCTGCAGGTCCCCCTCGAGCGCCTGGCAGCGGGCGCTCAGTTCCCGCTCCCTGTGCTCCCAGGTGGAGCGCTCCAGGGCGTGGGCCTGCTCCTGCTCCCTCCAGCCCCGCTCCTCCTGCTCCACCGAGCGTTGCAGGCTCTGCAGCATCTCCTCCGTCTCCGAGAGCACGCGCTGGTAGTGCTCCACCTGCAACGTCGGATGTACCGCTTCAGCCACGTGGGCGAGTCACCCCAGGAATCGCGCCTCTACATCGGAACTTGCAAACTGGCACCGCTATGCAGAATACCACAAAACCAAGCTCATTGTGCCACTATAGGTTCCTTTTCCTCGTTTTAAGCAGATGCCCAAGAACACAGGAGCAGCGCATGACAGTGAGCGAGGGTAAAATCAATAGGAATAATAAAAAGAGGCTTACTCGAAACGCAAGAGTCAATCGATACGACGACCGTATCCATCAGCAATTTTATTGAAAACACATATGTACGAGCCAGAGAAATAGAACCGGATGAATATTATTTCGTGTTCGGAGCAAGCTGATCGCGCCTCAAGGGCAGCCTCAAAACGGACTGCACCATTTGGCAGGCCACGGATCCCTTAAAAACCACGGTTTTCATGCCCTGGAAGATGGAAAGCCACTTGGCAATAGCGCCAGCAAATACATTACTATGGGGAAAGCTGGATACTCACCTCGTCTACAAGAAACCAATCTGTCAGAAGGACGTCGCAACGGCAGCTAGAACTAGCTTCCCCTGACAAAAACCTGCCCCGCTCTCCTGCTCGGGCAGTCTGCCCGCTACTGCAAACGATTTGCATCATTTGGCACGACGCAACATAAAATGCCATGAAACTCTTAATACTTTTCCAAAATACAATGGCTACAATGTCCTGCAGGCTACCCCTGCCATCTCCTATAAGTCTTTATATTTGCAGGGTATGTATCCAGTATTTACGCCTAGTGATGTATTTGGAGTCGGAAACATTCATCTCAAGGAGACTGACGACGTGGTAAGTGACCAAAGGTCGACGTTAAGCCATCGTTTCCGTTGTTGCATCCTCGAGAAAATCCTCCCAGCCACTCACCTCCTTCTCTAGCCGTGCATTGTCCTGGCTGCTGTCTCCCTGGGCTGTGACCTTGCTGAGCGCCTCCTCAAAGCGCTTCAGCCACTGGGCGTGCTCCAGGCCCTCGGAATCATCCACCTGCATGCAGACACACACACACACACACTGGGCACGTGAACACACACACTGGGCACATGACAGTCTGGCCAAGTAGCTCGGTGCAACCATCAAGGGTGGGGGCACACCTCCCTTGGTAACCGAATATTCTTTTTCCTCTTTTTAAGTGCATAGCATTCATAGGGCCACTTTAGAAAATTGAGAAATCACCGATCAAATCCTACAATGAGGTCCTGACGCTTCAAAACCTTCAGGGGCGGCTATTTCCAGATAGGGGACAGTGGCTTCGCTTTCTTTTATGGTGATGGTCTCTTCTTAATGCGGAAGGATTAACAGTTCCATAGAGCGAACCGACGTCATCAGCTTTGAAACCACGCCAAACAGCCAAACAGCACATAAAATTCCCTTTCCGAAGTGAAGCCACTTTCTGGTGAATTCTGCTCCCATTGGCAGGCGCGCGTCATCAAGGAATGAGGCTCCCATTGGCTGTCGTGCGGCTTAATTCCAAAAAAAAGCCAGCAGAGACGCCCTCTCCACGGCGGAGCAATGCACGCAGCAACCCAGCCACCAGTAAGAGGGAGCGGTGGCCGGTGGTGGCGGGTGTAAGGTCGAGCGCAACGCCGCCATTACACGAGCGCGCGCACTGGGCCGTCGGCTAGCGAAACGTGGCCGCCCACGCCAGTATGCCGCAGACGAACCAAGAGAGCGGAAGAACGACCTTCATGCTTTCGCATTTACAACTCATAAGAAGTGCATATGTGTCCTTGGACTTTTTTTTTTTCTTTTGAACTTTTACAACTCCTTTAACAGCGCCTGCGACGCTCTTTGAGGAGCGACCACCCTGATCCAAAAAGTGTTCTGGTGCAGGTGAATACTGAATAAAGGACGTTGGGTAATGCCGCCACTGCAGGCTCCAGTGGTCGTTTCCCCACCTGCCTATCTCACACCCTGCTCTCGGCCCACAGACGATGGCTCGTTGGAGTGACGCAAAACAAAACAGAATATCCTCTTTCTCAATACCACTACTGCCCGAATCAAACCCAGTGGCTTGATGGAATTTCCTGGCAGCCACGAGCATGCGAGCGGCACATTCACTAAGCTCCATTTATTTCACCGACAGAGGCTACGAGATGGGTTTGTGCGTCGTCGTCTCTCTCACCTTGACCTGGGGCAGCAGGCGGTGTAGCAGCTCTCGTTCCTTCAGCTCGTGCTCTTTCAACAGCTCTTCCCTGAGGCTCTGCAGGACGAATGGCGGTCAATATTTCTCCAACAAACATTGTCGTCTTGCACCGCAATAACATTAACAAACCACGAAACAACCCAACTAGCTAGGCTATCTGCTAAAAAATTTCAGCGCCTCCCTTCTTCCCCGAGACAATCGTAGAACGCTTGACAAAAGATCCCTCGGAAAAGTCCACGAATCACCAAGTTTTGGATACTCCAGACTTTACCTTGCCGAAATGATGACAGAAACCATAAAAGGCTGCTCGTCTCACAATGCAAACAAATGCTTTTAAACAAGTTCTGTGTTGAAACAAGATTTTGGAGAGAGAAGCAAATGCCATGTGCCACTCTGACAGGGCATTTGGCGGTACATTGCGACCAACGTGGGTGCTCCCCGACGCTCAAAAATATTTTGGAGAGAATTAAAGGGGCACTGACACCCCAAAGGTCGTATTTATTTTTATTGTCTAAAACGATGCAAGTTGCTGTCATAGACACGCAAAAAAAACCGCATCGCGAAAAAAAATTTTCCCGCGCGCGCCTTTTTATTTTGGGCGTTTGATTTTCCCGCCTCTCGCCTCCTCGCTTCTTTTGATCGGTGACGTCAAAAATCAGGAAATTTAGAAGCTTTGTAGGCGACATCTCTAGAACATTTAATTACGGCAATCCTAAAACATGTTTTTTAACGCAATTGCGAACGCACTACGGCCCTTCTTTTTGAAATACCAAAAATCGGGAGTTCGTTGTGGTGTCGTCTCCTGGATTTGTATCCTCCAACGGAAAACAGGCGACACCGCTCAAAACCGGTCCGCGCCGCCGCTCACTCCTTTCCTCCTCGCTTTGGGTCGCCATGGCAACAGCAGGGAGTGGTGAAAGGAAGTCGACTCTCAGGTCTCCTCAATTTTTGACGTCAAGGCACCGGCGCCGATCGCGCGGGAACTTCGAATTCGGCATTTGGAAATTGTTTTTTTACTTCACGAATACTCAATTCCCAAATCTCAAATTTTGTGGGTAATGTCCCGGCATCGTTTTCAATCGTTTCGGATAATAAAAAAAAATATGATTTTGATGTGTCAGTGCCCCTTTAACGAGCAGAGGGCACAGGGTTGTATAAGGACTTGACGCAATGTTTGTGCCAGTCAGCAGTCTATTGTTTTGACGGAAGCTGGGAGCGCATTCTTATCTTTTAAAAGGTGTGTTTGTTGCTGAGCTTTGTTAGGGAGTTTTTTTCCCCACAACTTTTTGCATGATTGAAAATTGTTCTGCTCATTGACACAACATAAGGGGACATTGGTTGTGTACGAGCAGACTGGCTGCGATTCTTCTTATTTATGATTTACGAAACCTCCAGTTGAGAGTAAGCACTTGCTTGCTTTACTCATCTTCTTTGTGTCCCTGTTTCCTTAGCACTCAGTTTTTTTCTTGTTTTTTACTATGTATAGTGAAGATGTTCTTGCAAGACCGTCAAACTGTGGCGTCGTTCAGCTCGAAGCGGTTTGGCACCTGCATCTGCTGGGAGTGCTGCTGTTGCTGCTGCTGCTGCTTGCGCTCCGCCGCCTGCATGGCCTCCACCACCTCCCAATTCTTGGTGCGCAGGTCGTTGTTCTTGGCCCGCTGGGCGTCCAGCTCCGCCTTGAGCGCCTCCAGGGCGCGTTCCTGCTCCCCGCTGGCCACCCGCTGACTTTCCTCCAGCTGCGCCTCCACCTCCGCCTGGTGGCGGCGTAGCTCCCCAACCTGGGCATGCCACGACCCGCCACGGTTACCCCCGTAGACACCGCACGGCCGAGGAGAATGGGAAGGACACGAGCGAAGGAAGCATGCAGATATTTTTCCTATCAATGCATAGCTTGCCTGTCAGCATATTGTTTCTGTCTATGTACTGTTTGTCAGCATAGTTTCCCTATACAGTCTAAGCTCATTATAACAGACCTGATTACAAGAGACATTTGGATATAACATACGGATTTGTGAAGTTCGATTGTTTTCTTTCTACATACCATTGACTCAACTTCACAACATACATACTCCTTTTACAACAGACCGAAATCTTGGTCAAAATCAAGGTCTGTTGTAACGAGCTTAGACTGTAAATGACTGTTTCCATATCAGAGTACATTTTTTCCTTGTCCAGTTTCTTTCAGTGTAAAGTTCCCCTATCAGTGCACATTTTCCATAGTACAGTGTCTGCGTACAATTTCCCTATCAGTATACATTTTCCCTTGTACAGTTTCTGTCAGCTTAGTTTCCCTACCACTGTACATATTCCTTTGTACATTTTTTAATCAGTCACCTATCAACCACCACAGTAAACATTTTCCCTCGTACAGTTTCTGTCAGCGTACAGTTTCCTTATCACAGTACACTTTCCCTCGTAGTTCCTTTCAGTGTACAATTTCCCTATCACTGTACATTTTCCCTCAAACAGTTTCAATCAGCATGGTTCCCCTAAGAATGGACATTTTCCCTTGTACTACCCGATTCCCTATCAGTGGACATTATTCCTTGTACAGATTCCCTATCAGCCAGCACTTCCTTGTCGGTGGACACCTTCCCTCGCACAGTCTCCGAGCATACAGTCACCCTCTCAGTGTAGAGTCACTGACACAATGAGAATGGCAGGGTGTTCCTTTCGATTTCCCGGGGTCCATCATGTGCTCCACACCTTCCGCTGTGCTTTGGCTGCACATCCCCGCTACAGGTGCACTCTCAACACTGAAGCATTGTGGAAGGCAAGAAGGTCACGCTGAAGGCAGGACAACTGAAGCTCCTTGCCGTTTTCACCTTGTTAGTGCCCATAGTAGCTTTGTTGGTGTACAGTTACCCTGTCAGCACATTTTCTGTCAGTGTAGTTTTCCTGTCAGTGTACGGTTTCCATGAGCATGCAGTTTCCGTCAGTGTGCAGTTCCTGCCATTGCACAGATCCTCTCGGCGTGCCGTTTCCGTCGGTGTTCCCCGTCAGCATGCAGTTCCCATCAGAACACATCTTGTGTCTTGTATAGCCCGTGGCACATCCCCGGGCAGCCTACCTCGCGGGCGTGAGACGCGGCCGCCTCTGCTAGCCTGCCCCTGAGCTCCTCGGCCGTCTTGACCTGCTCCTGGCAACGCTGCTCCAGCGCCGCCATGCGACGCTGGTGCTCCACCCGCTCCGCCTCGAGCTCCGCCTGGTGCACCTTGCTCAGCTCCTGCACCTTGCCCTGCAACCATCCGTGCCCACCACGTCATTGCACGCGGCGACGGTCGAGGAAAACTGGAGCCACATTGCGCCGCATAAACGTCGTCCCGGAAAGCCCAAAGGTCCATTCGTGTTTTCCCGATTTACTTTCTGGGCGAGTTTTGTCCTGTGTATGTCAATGAGAGAATTCTTGTTCACACTAGCCATAAGTTATAGCCATTTCTTAAATCATCATAATTAACCTATACCCTTCAGTTCCCCTCACCATGAACGGGGTCCTCTATCATCTAAACCAATCCACAAGGGGTCCGCAAACTATCAATGGTTGAGGACCAGAGTCCTAGATGGCGTCACTTGTCTCAAAATGGCACCGGACGCGTTGAAATAGGCATTAGAAATGTTTTGATCAAATTGATTGATTTGAATAAATGCAGTAAGGAAAGAGTTAAGCGCTGGAGTACAGGTTGGAGCCCGTTTTCCAAAGCAGGCTCCTATGGCAGTTTCCCAACCAAGTTTTCTTCTGTAACATTGAACTCAAGCGAAGATACCAGAGCGGCGAGTTTTTGTTTTAATTGTTCGGTGTTGTTCAAAGGAAAAGGGGATGACCCTTTTCTATCCACCCTCTTTCTCGTCCAGAGGGAAGGAAGCGGCGAAGAACGGGTTCTGGAGCACGCCCGAAACAATCGAAGTGCCCCGTTTTCCAGACCCGGAAAGGACAAGGTTACCTCCGAGGCCTGCCTGGTGGCCGCCTGGGCCTGGGCCTCCTGTTCGAGGCGCTGCCTGAGCTCCTGGCAGGATGCCTCCGCCGTCGCAAGGCGCGCCTGGGCCTGGGACAGCGCTTGGGCGGACTCCGCACGCTCTGCTGCCAGGGCCTCCGCGTGGACGCGCTCCAGCTCTGCCTCCCGGCGCTCCAGGGACTCGCGCACGCAGCCCGTCGCTTCCCGCAGCCTGCAGGATCGAACCACACGCACACTTTGTTTTCCAGGAACCGGGGCACAAAAGCCAGCGCCGGTTTTCTCAAAATAAAGGCCAGTTCACACACTTGCGGTCGAGCGTTCCCGACTGCATTGGAACCATCTAGGACGATGGAACACGCCGGCACCGTCTAGTGGGTAGCACTAGATGGTGCCATCTGCCATAACTAGACCGACGAGGCAGAGGGGCTTAGACCCATAAACTGGTATAGTGTTTGCCAGGCAAAAGTGACCCCCACTTGGCTGCCGCCATGATGAACCCTAGACACGTGACCGTACCAAATCCTGAGGCTTCTACGCAAAACTGAGCCAATATTTGTACTGCGATTGCTGTAAAAATATGGTAAAATATTTTTTCGATACTGTTAGCCCCAGAGATCAGTGTCCAACTCCGATAAAAACCCAAAATACAGCACCGCGGCCGACGGCATTTAGCGGAGGCATTGTGAAGCAGCCCGAGTTTTTGTCCTAAAACCACATTTTGGACCTCAAACAAACGGAACATAACTTACCTCGTCGGTACTGTTATTAAAAGATCGATAAGCAATTATTTATGCACTGTACTTAGTTAGAATCTAAAAGCAAAACTCCAAGGTCACGTGTCTAGTGGTCAAAAACATGTCGCAGACGACAGGCACGCCACTCACTCGGTCTCCAGCTGATGCACCCTCGCCTGCAACTGTCGACCCTCCTCCTTGGCACGCTGGGCGGCCGCCATGTTCTCCTCCACCAGCTTCTGCTGTGCCTGCGGCCGAGCATGCGGAAAACCCAATCAAGTCAACGCCGGCTAGAACAGCCCATGCGATAGAATTTTGACGGCGTTGCAGATCGAGCCCAGACGCGGATTGGACACAAGTGCTGGGTCAGCATTCGGCTGGACCTCGCGTCCAATCGAAGCGCCCAAGGACGCCCAGCGTCGGGTTCAGGTCCGACAGACTTTTCTGGAAATGCGTAGCGCCCAGTTGACGCATTGCGGCGTTCCGATACGCAGCACACGAGATTATCCAGGAATCATAGGCAAAGTTTTTACAGCGGAGCCGTTAAGGGCTAGGTTCCCCAGGATCGTGTCCGTGTATGTCGACACAAACCTACCTGGACAGCTACCGCAGGCACGTATTCTGGGGGGAGAGCCCATGGGGCCCGGGCCCCACCCTGAAATCTTCCCCCCTCCCCCTCATACAGCATTTTGTCATGAGCGGGCCCGCCCTGAAACAAAATCCTGGCTACGTGCCTGAGCTACCGCCATCTATAAGCGACGGCGGCAAGCACACAACCAGTATGGTTTCCGCCGTCGCTCGTAGATGGCGGCAACCTTTCCAGCTATAATACAAGAATGGATAGTTGGGTGCGTTGGTGGGAATTCATCGTAGAAAACAGCGCAAAAAACGGACAACGACGAAGAAGAAGCACACAGTGTATCGAGTACAGCTCCGCTGGTCTTCCTTTTTTTTCACGTTGGTTTAACGTCATGCGATTTTAGAACGCAGAGAAGGCAGAGGGAAAGCAAAAGAGTATGTGACGATATCACTTCGTGTTTGCTTTATTTCTTGCGCATTCCAAGGTCATAATAATGAGAGACGACGAATCGTGCCACTTCCAGGTTATACGAAGAGTTTTGAGTCGGCACGAGAGTACGGCTGAACAGCACCGCCATTCCCCCCGCTGCGAGGTCTCCACGCTCCACGGAGGAAGAGGAGGTTGTGTGCAAGCCTCAATTATTCTAGCTCGTGCCGATCGAGCCCAATCCACGGTCGCCAAGCCTTGGAGGGGAGAAGAACCGGGTCATCCACTAGGGCCAGCAGAACGAGACGACAGGACGTATTTTTCAGATACCCAGCCTCCGGCAAGCTTTCGTTTCCTTTCCTTGCGCTTTGGCTTCTTGTTCACGCTCGACACTCAAGAGATGCCATTATCGAAGCTGGGAAGCTCACTCTGGGGGAGACTTCCTCGCCGTTCTACTAATTCCGTCAGCGACTTTAGCTTGTTCTGTGCCTTGTGCATAAACAACCGCGGTCGTTCGAAAATGGGTATTCTTTCTGAGTGAACGGCGCCGAGTCTACTCTCCAGCAGAGATTACAAAGGCCAATCATGGGGGGAGGGAACTGGAAAGGCTTACAAGCGAGGAGACGTTGGCGACATCTGGATTCAAAAATGCCCTAACTGTGCTAAGACGCTTTGGATGATGTTCGTGCACTCATAATCTTGGCCGCAGATCCCGCCTCTGAGCCCCGACGAGATTAAGGCACGTCATTCGCTGGGATCCTTACGTAAATTGCAATAACTGATCTTCCGTCGGCATTGCACCAAAGTATACGCACGGGCTCTGTGGATCAAAGACATTGGACTTGTTTTCGAAGGCGCAATACGATGTGGGAAGGGGAAACCAGCAGCCTCGTCCGAGGGACTGTTGTTGGAGCTCTATAATCGTGCATCTCGCTGTGGTCTCACCTTCAGGTTGCGCTCCTGCTGCTGCGTCCTGCTCAGTTGCTGGTTCAGCTCTTGACGCAGTTCCTTCACCTGCACATAAGAAAGAGAAGAGAAATACGTTCTCAAGGTTCGTGCTACACTAGCTTTACAAACTTATGTTGCTGGGACAAATGTAAACGATCCTCTGCCTTGGGACACTTGGTAAACCCGCTAGGGTGAAAATACAGCATCTCCCCCCCAAAAAATTTAGTCTTTTTCTACCGCAAAAAAATAAACGACGCAGCACCAAATGCTCAGATCCGTTAAAATATAGCGCTAGCGGTGCGAACCAGACGCCCAAGATTCAGAACCGTTTGTTACATTATTAAAAAGTTATGCAATTCTTTTTTAAATTTTTTTACGGGAGAATGGGCGTGTTTTTGATAACTGGTGCCGTTCAGCTCCACGTATTTGAGGGCTCAGTCAACCACCATTTTCCCGTTAAACATTTAAGAAAATCGTTATGAATTTTAAAAGGTTAATGGTTAGTTCTGAAACTTTGTCATCTGGTATGAACCGCTAGCACTACATCTGGCCTAAGAATGAGCGTTCGGCAATGTATAGTTTCTTTTTGCAGTAAAAAAAGCCCAATAAATTTCGGGGGAATGGAGAGGGGGTGACACCTGGTAATCCCTTGTTGCACCGATTTAATCCATTGCGAGGCCGAGCTACGACACTAACATAATTTGAAAATCACGAAAGAATAAAACATGTAGGGACGAAGACAGACAGTACGGTTCTTTCAACTAGCAACCGACATTTAATGATGCCGCCCTCAAAGCGTCAGCCCTTTCCTTCCCCGACGCCAAAGTCCCTCGGAAAAAGAAAAACCCTCGGAAAAAAGAAACCTGGGAGAAAGAAGTCTGTTAAGGAAGAAGAGACAAAAGAATGTAAGAGAATGGCTAAGGTTGCTGTTAAAGAAATAGAATAAAAAGAACAGAAATAAATAAATAGAGAAACAAATTAGAAGAAAAGGTATTTATGTGTTCCCTACTTTAACTCCTGCCTCAGAAATGCTACATCAGTCTTGGATAACCTAAGGGAAAGCGAGGCAAAGTTCAAAGGACTAAATTATTTCTCCGTATGTCCTTGTGTTTCCCGATAACTCGGGTTGCATGGAAGTGTGGCTCACAGTTCAAGTAAATGCGGTTGTGCTCCACAATAGGGTGAAAAGAGTCTCTGGATGCTTGGATTACTTCGAGGAAGTGCTCCCCCTGAGGTGAGTATTGAGGCATCTGCCAGCCTCTACAATGTTATACGGGCGACTCTCGAGGTTTCCTGGGACTGTGCATCTAGAGTTGCTGAACAAGTTACACTTAGACTATAGGCACCCCAATCCAAGACTGCGTTGCGGGCGCCGCCATTTTGTCGGCTAGAGCAGGGCGGGTGCATTTAAATAATAGTAACCACACAAAAATTAGACATCCTGCGCTCTAGATGCGGTGTCGGGAAGCCCCGGCGATATTGCTCCACTCTGTTCTGGACTGTTTTAATGACGCGGGATGAAAAAGCTGTTTCTTGCGATTTCAGACAAAGCCTTAGATAAGTGGCAACATTGATTTTTAGTAACAAGGTGGCTCAAGTGTAGCTTATTTAGTAGTTCCACTTGTATCCCCGAAACCTACAGTGCGCTAAACACTGTGCTGCCCCAACCCCAATTAAAAAAAATAATAATTTCTTGATGTTATTTGATAAACTCTGAGAAGCACAAAATGTATGCCAAGTGAGCTGGGCTATGTTTGAGTGCGATGCGACATCGGGGTGTTACGCGCAGTCTTGTAAAGGATACTCGAAAAAAGTATTCGATTACAATTATAATTACCCCTGCTCAAAAGTATTCAATTAGATTACTCGATTAGTCGAGACAAAAAGTAATTGGCAATTACCTAAAGAGGTGACTGTTATTTCTCCGACTACTTCAGATTTTCAAAACGACAAGAGTTTACTGCCGGTTTAAAAACGGGCCTTTCATACAGTACAATATTAGATTAAGAATCCCTGCATTATTACCTACTTATCTTCTTAAGGGAAAATGATAAATAAAATTGACCACAAAAGTGCATTTTTAAAATTTTATCGGGGTTCTTGCAGAGCCCGTCCTCCAAAAAACAAGTTCAAGTGAGCACTAGAAGACATTTAAAAATTGTGCCTACTACACTTATATGCCCTTTAAAATGTGTGCGACTTTGCAAACACATTGTTTGCATCACTCTTTTCAACCTCAAAACATAATAAAATCAACAAAACTTGTTTTTGTGCGTGTGAGGTTGATAAAACATTGTACAAATGAATGCTGCGTTTTATGGACGTTTCATGGTCGCATGGACAATTCATGGATGCACGCAAAATGCAAATGAGTAGCTAAACAACTTGATCTGGTGTAGGTGTCCAAAAACAACACTTGTTGGACTGTTCACAGTGAAGGCTGCTTTTTACGATGCAATAGACCCTTTTCAAAAAATCCCAAAAGCCTGAGCGCGTTGCGCGACGAATAATGGGAGTCCTCCCATTGCTACGCCCCTCCCCACGTCTCTCCCCTTGCTACCACGCGGCATAGGCAAGCAGGCGCAGGTTACCACATCAACAACATTTGAGCAGCCGAGTCGGGCGGGCAACAAGTCATTAACTGCCCCTTTCTCATCTCTATCCTCTGTACCGGCTCTGTTGTCTGCTGCCCCAACACTTTGTCGAACCTGGTGGAAAGCTGCCACGGTTGCGGTACAAAATAAGTGGATTCGGTGACACTTCAATATGTGAAGGGAAGTTACGAAGAATAACGTATTCAAATAAGTTCACCTGCCGCAATGCCTTTACGCTGCCACAGATTCGGTAAGCCGCCAACGACGTACGACTCGGCGGATGGGCGGGATGGTGGATGGCAGCAACGACTGCTGGGAGGTAACTGCCGGGACGCGCGCGCGGTCGCAGAGGCGCAACGAGAAAGCACGTGATCTGCACCGAGGGTTCCCAAAATTCCCTGCCGTCGTAGCACTGCCCGTTTTGCAACAGGTCTATTGCTTTCTACAACAATGGCACCGAAGCAAGAAAGAAAGTGTGTGAAGCCCTTGATGTAACACCAGATGTGTTCTGTGACGTGACCCTGAACCGGATGGGCAACACTCGAATCACAAAAGCACGCTTTCTGGCTTCTCCGGAAAGCAAGAAAAGAAGAAAAATGAAGTTGTGTGCCAGAACAGGCTTCACAAGGCAGTGCAGAGGGAATGAGGCTGTACACCACGCGCATCTTAGGACTGTGGATGAGCAACCAAACTTCCAATTGCAATTTCTCGAAAACAATGTTTTTGAGCATGCAAGGAACATTTTTTCCGAAACTAGCGGAGCTCTCAGGGGGACGTTTCTGTCAGTTATTACTACGTGAGGTACTTCATTTACTGAACCTCATAAATTGTATATTGAAAACTTTATTCATTTATTAATATATTTTTCTTCACAAGAAGCATCAAAGATGGACCATAGGTGTATACAAATTTATTTTGAAAAAGTCAGACGTGCAATTCTTAAGTTTTACAATTCATAAACTGGCCCTTAACCAAAGAAAAAAAAAATCATCTTTTCTTTAATAAAGGCCTTAGTGTTTCTGAAACAAACCTGGTAAGCAACAAGCAGAAGCACAACAGTAACAAGCTGGAAGGTTTAAAATTGCTCGTACAAAAAGAAGCTGAGATAATGGCACAAGTCGAGTCATATGTCAACCTACCATCCCCCAATTCTAAAATTTTGGTAAATCCTGCCAGAGAATCCTCAAACAAAATCTTCCTTTGGAGATTTCCTTTGGAGATTTTGTTTCGAGGATTCCAAAGCAGGAAACTAGTATGAACAAAAGGCGCCACAAAAAAACTGAAGAGAAAAAAAGTAATGGTTAGAAGTAATTTAAATACTTCCAAAAGTAATGAGATTACTGTTGTGATTACTTCGTATTAAATGCAATCAAATGATTACAAAATTACTCCAAAAAATTTATTACAAGTAATTTGATTACCTGTAACCCGTACCGTACAAGTCTGGTCGGGCGACACATTGACCTCAAGGCCATATAAGCGATATAGCAACAATACACGTTGATGGCCTAGTTTGATTTAACACCGCAAAAAAACAGTTACCGTATTTACCCGATCCTAACGTGCACCCGATTTTCGTAACCAAATACAAGATTTTCATCCTGCACCCGATTCTAACGCGTTTACATAGTGAAGAAAAAAAAAAAGACGAGTTTTCACACACAAAAAACAAGCGAAGTTTACCGACTTCCAAGTGTATTAGTCCTCGCACTCAGAGTTAATTTTCCACCTTCCGCTCAACAGAGCGTGTTGTCCTCAGTGCCACCCGTCGCGTTCTGGATCCCGCGTTTTTCGAAGAGGCGCTTTAGCATTTTTATATCTTGCAAGTGCGGGCGACGATTGAACAAAGCAGGAACGAGCGGGACGAATAAGAACCAACGAACGCTACGCCGCCATTTCATAATTCCGATAACAGTGCTACCGTCGCAAGTGTTGCTAGTGTGATTTCGGTTTCGTATCTGACTGTAACACACATACCATTTGCTAGCTCTATTTTTACAGCGGAGCTGTTAAGGGCTAGGTTCCCCAAGATCGTGTCTGTGTATGTCGAAACAAACCTACCTGGACAGCTACCGCCATCCATAAGCGACGGCGGCAAGCACACAACCAGTATGGTTTCCGCCGTCGCTCGTAGATGGCGCCAACCTTTCCAGCTAAAATATAAGAATGGATAGTTGGGTGCGTTGGTGGGAATTCATCGTATGAGAAACAGCGTGAAAAACAGACGACGACGAAGAAGAAGCACACAGTGTATCGAGTACAGCTCCACTGGTCTTCCTTCTTCACGAGTGGAAAGCCTGAACGTTTTTTGTCTAAAAAAAGTTGCGCATTAGAATTGGAAAAGTACAGTAGCATGAAAGACAAAGGACAAGCAGAAGACTGGACGAAACAAGCAGTACATTCAACTCGCATATAAAAAAACATTTTAAAAAATTGTTTTTTTTTATTTTAGATTTTTTTCATTTTTTTTATTGAACTGCCAGTTGAAAGCACTCCTTGTCTCATCCAATCTTCTACTTGTCCTTTGTCTTTCGCGCCAACTCTTTTTGCGAGGTAATATAGCCCCTGGGGGCTGCATTGCCTACATATCCTTGACCCATGTGTCGGTCGAGCGCAACACGCCATGTCTCTTTTCTCGCAACACCCAGCCCCAGCACGCATTCTGCACTATAGTCAGTTACAGGTTAAGAAGGTAGCGGCAAATGCCCCTCAAAGAGAATCAGATATCCCTCCGCCACCTTTGCATCCAATAGCGTCTCACTGTTTCCGTGACGTCGCGGACAACGCGCGAAGAGGGTCTTGCTTTTCTGTACATATTTGCTTTATCTTTCAACTTTGACTTAGCATTGTGGAAGCCACGAGAGGGAGATTAGAGTTCTCCCCCACCGACGGAAACAAATACGACTTTCGGGGCTTAGCTTCCCCCCCGATGAATACAAAGGCTGCTTTCAGGGGCTCGGTTCCCTCTCCGATGAATAACAAAGGTCGCTTTCTTAAAAAGGGGGATCGGAGACAAGTGGGAATCCATTGAAGCGGAACAAGGAGCGTCTCCAGTGAACTCTTCTTTCGACTGCGGAGAGATTTGTAACGGGCGCATCACACTTGTGGGAGGAGCTTCTCCTACCTTCTTGACTTGTAACCGACTATAGTACGAGCTTGCGCTCTCAAGTTTGGCCTCCCACCTTGGTGGGAGGCCAAATTGGCTTTAAATCGGGTGTGCCCTCAAGGCGGCACCGATTGAGGCATTTTTATTTTTCAATCTTTTTTGCAAAGCCTCGCCTTAGCAAATGTCCCACCTTGGTGGCGTGTGAGAGGGAGTGCTGGCGCTCTGCCTCCAGGTCCTTCTCCCGGTCGGCGAGCATCTTGCGCAGCTGTGCCTCGGGGTCGTGGCCCCGCTTGTGCCACTGGCCCGCCCCCCCGCCCCCCGTGCGATTGAGCAGCTCTTCCACCAGCTGCTCCACCTCCGCCTCGTCCGTCAGCCGCGTGCTGCACCTCACCAGCTTCAGCAGCTCCCCCGCCGAGAGATCCGCCGAAGACGGGCCGTTGCCGCCCTCCGCCGCTGCACCGGGACGAGCGACCCTTCAGGCTTGGGACAAGCGACCCTTCAGGCTCGGGACAAGCAACCCTTCAGGCTCGGGATGAGTGACCCTTCAGGCTCGCGACTCCCAACACAAGGGTTCGTACAATGTGTCTATGGCACGTTTCCACAAAAAAACTCAGAAAGTGTTTTGTTTTTTGTTTTTCTTTAATCGCAAAAAGCAATTATGTGTTTCCGAAAACTCAGTTCCTGCCCAAATGTAGTGCTAGCCATACGGACCCAACGCCGAAGTTTCAGAGCTTGCAGTCATGTGATTAAAAAGTTATGGGGGATTTCAGGAAACTTTTGATCTGATACATGTTTGTGGGCTTCGTCGACTGCCATTTTCCCAATGAAAATTTTGGAAACTTTTGACACCTGGTCCTGACCGCTAGCACTACATTTGGACGCAATGTATAAGTAATTTATTTTGGAGGAGAAAAAAAACAACTAAAAACATTGTAAATATCCATTGGGGATGCCCCATTGGAGGTTGGGTATTCCCATACATGTATTCATTATTTTTTTCTGTTTAATATACCCTTTGATAAATGTAGATTTTTTTTTGTCTGGCATCAAACATTTATACCAAAAAAAACATCCCCGAATTCAAAGAAAAATGAACCCCAAAAACATGAATTCCTACTGATAATGCCAAGTAGGGAATCACAGCCCCCAGTCCCCAAAAAGCTGCAGTCCCTATAGACCTCTTTCGAGTACTCTTGTACCCAGCCACCGGCAGGCATATCCGGTATGTGCGGCGAAAAAATAACGCAATTCAACCTGCAAATAGTAAAAAAAATAAAGAGGAGACGAAACGAGAATGCAAAAGTTGCGCTTATATTTGAACTGTATTCTATTGGCGTGGCGACGGCAAAGAAGAATGTTTTCACCCGTACTGGAAGTGACGATACTTCAAGATGGCGTCTCCCTATTGAAAAGGGTCTATAGCTCAACTTCTCAGAGCCAAAATCCCTATAGCTTATGCCCTTAATGCCCCAGTTCCCAACGGCCCCTGTCCCCATAGCCCAAGTTCCCCCCGCCCCGGGCAACAAGCGTGCCACTCACCCACGTCAGCGGTGTCCCCTTGGGGCCTGGCCTTGCGCCTGGGCTTCTCACGGAGCGGGGAGCTCTTTGGCGGCGTCTTGGCCCTACGGGGACCCTCCGCCGCAGAAGACGCCTCGTGCTCCTGCTGGAGGTGCTTCAGCTCAATCTCGTCCTGCGAAACAGAGGTCGGATCAGCCACGGGGACGTCCTCCTTGCACGTCGGGAACTCCGAAACAAGGGTGCAATGTGGAGTGCGTTCAGCCGGCGGCACGCCACGCTCAGCATGTGGCGGCATGGGGACTTCAGCGGAAGCGCTGAACGGCTCCGGCGTAACTTGTGGCAGTGGCGGCGCACAGGTCTACCAAGTGACATCATTTTTTCATACAAGCTGTTTAAAAAAATTGTTTTCTTCCTTTACGTCCTTTAAGAAAGGTCCTTTTTGGAAAATACATCACAACATACTCCGTTTCACGATAACGCGCCAAACTGTGGAGGTTACAGCTGATTAAGTAGCCAACTTTATTTAAAAAAATCACAAACACACTGGAATGGTACTAAAAGTTGCTCACCAAGTAAAAAGAAGGTAGTGACTATTTCCACTTTCAAAATAATTTTAGATATTATTTTGACGTCCGTGACGCCACTTCCTGAAGACGTGAGAATATCTTAAAAATAATTTCGTTGTCCGCCGTCAAAATATTCTTTTTCCTCATTTTGACATATCCAACTTAGAACTTTGGACTGGAACGTGATCGAAAGTGGCGGTCAAACAAATATTTTGCTTGCAAGCAGCGTCTCATTTCAAAGCACATTTTCCAAAAAACAAATGTGCAGTAGACTGCAGTTTCTATTACCTTTGTGGAATGCAAAAAAAAGACTCTTAAAGTACATCAGCTATCAGGCAGCACATAAAGTTTGCTTGGTTGTGCCCAACATTACAGAGTGTGGCACTTTTTTATGATTAATTTTTTTGTGTTTTATATACACAAAGAAGCTGAATGTCGTGTCAAAAAATTCACAGTTGATTGGAAAATATGTGCATCTCGCACAACCGTGCAAGACCCTTTGTTCATTCGCACCGGTCAAGAGACATCGAGGAGGAAATGTAATTTTAGACAAACCCCCAAGACGGGGGAAAAGACTAAGGACAACAAAACACACGGTCTCAAAATTTGAGACTGTGTGTTGTGTTGTCCTTAGATAGAATTAGGAGAGTGTATTGATTAAACATCTTGGTTTCGCATTCGCATACCAAGTTGTCCTTCGTCTTTTCCTCAGTCTCAAGGGTTTGTCTAAAATTAAGTTAAACCATCGCCAGCTTGTCTGTGCCCTAACTTCTTGCAAGGAGGAAATGTTTGCATTCACAACCTTTTATTTAGTATCCCGATGGTTTCGTCGTTAGCCCGCTCGTCATGCACGAACCAAAAAGAAAATCTAAACTAAACAACAAACTCACGAAATCCGGTTAAAAACAAGGCAGGAGCAGGATGCAAAGCGAGACTGCAGTCTGCAACCGTACGAAGACACGCTCGCACAACGTGGAGGCACAAAAAGCGTGCGATATTTCTTAGTGTTACATAGTGTACGCACTTACATTTGTTACGTGCAGGCAAGACAGAGGGATATCCAGTTCTCCTTTGTTGTAGATTCAGAATTTTAAGTGAGACGCATGCCAAAATGGTGTGCGAGAGCTCGGAACATTGCTGCGGGGCATGTCACGTCCGAGAGGATCAACTGTCGAGCCAGTCCCACACACATGCCGAATAAGACATTCCCACTGCCAATGAGGACCGAAACTTATTAGGCACGTGACATAGTCAACAAGTCAATACAACACGGACACCATCAGAAACTAAACAGAATGAAACCACAAAACGGATACCACTGCTACGGCCACATCACCGAGAGACGTTGAAATAATCAAGTTGCTATTTGGACGTTTAACAAAAGTGAATTCAAAGGCGTTGAATTAATTTTCGAGATATTTCGACCGTGGAAGTTGAAATAGTCACCCCCTAAAAAGTATGGATGGAAGGGAAGGTGACCTCTAAAAAGTTCTGGGAAACAGGATCGGCACTGAACGTCTATAGTCCGTTGCAACCTAAGAACGAAGGGCGAGGGTAAGACGGGCCGGAGAGGAGGAAGCGGATGGAACGCTAAAGAGAGAAGGTTTCCCCCCTCTCCTCCAGCGTTCCGTCTGCTTCCTCCTCCCCGGCCCGTCTTACCCTCGCCCTTCGTTCTTAGGTTGCAACGGACTATAGACATCTGCAGTGCCAAAAAACCGACTTACACGAGAGAGCGCTCCCTCACCTTTGGCAAGATGTCCTTGAAGGAGTTCCTACGTACGGGCGGCGGGGGGGCCTCGGCGGGAAGCTCCTGCGGCGGCGCCTCCTTGTGCACCAGGATGGGCTTAGCCGGGCGGCGCTGGCGAACTGCCGACGACGTGGGCGCCGCGGTCGGCATAATGATGGGCAGGTCTTCGTCTTCCTGAGGGATCAGCACCACTTCCGCCTCCTCCTGGAATTCCACGTGGTCAACTACCGGAGATGGCGGTGCAACCGCCGCCGCCGCCGTTGCGGGTGTGGGTGACGGTGGCTCGCCTCCCTCCGTGTCCTTGAGGCGCGAGCGCCCCCAGCGGCCCTTCACCTTCTTGCCACCCCCCTCCCTGCGTGGAGACGAGGATTTTATTTATTTCAAAATACCATCAGTCCCTCGTGGGACTATGGTAAGAGGGGGCATATACGTTTTCTGGGTATATACAAGAAACAAAAGCAACGCACACTTGATCGAGAAAAACCTGATAAAATTTTAACATTTTTCTCATATGAATTAACCAAACTGCTGAAAAAAAATGACATAAAAAAAGCTAGCAACATGATACTTAGCAATTGGCCACAATGGCATAAACGCCAGAGCAAACCCGTGTATGAAGTAAGAAGCTGCGTCAAAATTAACCGGGTAGAGCCCGGAGACAAGGCCCACCCATGCACCACTTTAATGTTTACAAATGAATAGCCCAGCGTGCAATGCCCAAAGCAAAGTACGGACCTGTTTGTCGCTTTGGAAAGCGAGTGAAACATGTGCCCCATGCAGAAACTCTGCAAATGGCCCCAGCCAGAAGCTCTTCACTGGAAAGATCTATAGACCATTCCATTTAGCGCTCTCAGGGCGGCACCATTTTGTTAGAGCGCAGCACCCTCTCCACACATCCGGGAAGTTCAGCCGGTTCGGCGGGGTAAAACGAGAGAGAGGGCACGCGCCCGACTCTGCTAGCAGACGGCAAACCGTTCTCCAACTTTAAGCTGTACGGAACATCGAACTCTCGCTCGTGGCTTCCTCTATGAAGTGGTTCGCGTTCTTAGAGTATTTATGGCTACTCCAAAATCAGCCTTTAGTGCTCTGTTGTTTAATTTCAGTAAATGATAAACTAGCGTATCTTTGTTTCGCTACTTCAATGACAGTAGAGTCAGCCAGCACCTCAACCATTGTGTCTATTGCACCAGGAGAGCACGTTTTTATTTATTATTTCAGACTTCCACTCATTGTAGCTAAAGGCCTACACCAGTACGAACTTTGTACAGTGAAATAGCTAGAGCAACCGGGTTTACTTTTCGCCGGAGCGACCACCCATTCTGACACAGTTTTTCTTTTTTTTCTTTATTGGCAAGTTAGGTACCATTGCAATTAGACTCGGCTAGTCTTTTTATCGAGCATAGCATCTGCGCTTGAAATTTCCAGAATGACACGATTTTAAACCGAGTTTGTACGCAAGCAGGATGTTAGGTACAGCCCATTCGGCAGAGCAGACGACGAGCGGGATGAGAGGGCATTCTTTCTCCCTTCCTAGTGGAACGGTCTATACTAGAGTCGCCGACAGAATGAGAACGACAGGGCATCTCTTCCGGACGCCCGACCTCCAGCACGCCCTCGTTGCCTTTTGTCGTGCTTTGGCTGCATGTGCAGGTTCGAGGCTCGTGAGACGCCAAGGCGTCACCGAGCGCAGGAAGCTCGTGCTGGAGGCGGGACAACCGAAAGGCTTGCCGCCGTTCTAATCCCGCGGGCGAGCGTAGGTGGCGATGCCGCGTCGACACGCCACGCACGAAGGGGTTGGGGCCTAGCGGGCGGGCCCTTTCCTCACCGCTTCTGGGCGGCCTTGGCCTGTTGCAGGGCCGACTCGCGCTCCTGGGACCGCTTCCGGGCCTCCTCGATCGCCTCCTCGTAGGACTTCTGCCGGGTGCCCAGCACCGACACCAGGAACACCACCACGGCAGACACCACAAACATGGCAGCGCAGATCTCCAGCTCCATGGTTCCTGCTATGCTCTGCCCGGTCGCCTCCCAAGCATCCGCACTGGCCCCGTCACGGCCACCCTGAGACAGACGCCCGTCTTGAAGCCCCTTCACACACTTGCGACTGCTCACGACAGTGTGCCTTAAAACCTCTTCTCTTACGAGAGAACGCGCCGGCGTCGTCCATCGGGTAGCCGTGGAACATTTCGTATTTCTTTTTTGTGCACCATTCTTTCTTTCTTGGCCCAAAAAACTTTTGACAATGTCATAAACGACCACTCCTCTTAGGTAGTATGTAGTACAACTGACCTCAGAAATACCGGAAAACTTTCTCTTTTTAGTGAAATGCAGCTCCAGGGTGACCTCATAGATGGCACCAGCGGGACAGATGCAAACTCAAGTTTGTTAACGGGCCTTCAGCATGAGGTTCGAAAACACCACAGCTTGGCAAAGACAAGCACAACCCACTACCAAGGTGTTAAAAAAAAAAAGTTCGCTGGTTTTCAAGCATTTTTAAAGCCCTGCAAATGTGTTGTGTTGTATAACTTCTTTAACACAAAGCAGAACCCACTACCAAGGTGTTAAAAAAAAAAAAAAAAGTTTGCTGGTTTTCACGCATTTTTAAGGCCCTGCAAATAGACAAAAAAAATATGTTGTACAACTTCTTTAACGCACTGCATATACTTTTATCACCAACTCGTGTTTCTGCACGCACTGTTCAGGTTTTATGCCTGCTGGTCAAGTGATTGCTTGCTTACACATGACGTGTAGCGACTTGTGAAGCTACCTGCTATCGTCTTCATGTTGGCATGTGTTTCACACAACTGACACGGCCTTCTTATCACACTCTCCCACAGACGAGATACCGAACAATTCCCACAAGGTAAGACACGCCCGTTGCAAGTTGCGCTTCGCGGGCATGGCACATAACCTCAAGTATGTCCACAGGCACTATGTGCCATGTCACCCATACGCAGACTGAGCCCACCAAGTACAGCTAACAAACAGGCTGGGGGAATACAATGACCGCAAACAACCGAAGAGAAGCAAAGCAAGACCAGCAGATGATGGAATGAACAAAACCGAAGCTACTATTTATGAGGCAAAGCACCTAACTGACGTCCACTAAACATATCTTAATTGCAGGTGTGGACTAGTCTGGAAAATACGATGCTGCAAATGATTCATATTTGTAGCAGGCTCCGACAGGTCAAAATAATTTTTTTTTATTACCCGAAACGATTGAAAAAGATGCCTGGACATTACCTTCGAAATTCTAAGCTTGGAAACTCGGTATCTGTGAAGTAAAATAACAATTTCTAAAAGCCGAAAAGACGTCGCTGCACTGGCGCGGATCGCCGAAAGCGATCCGCGCCAGTGCAGCGACGTCAAAGATTGAGTCGTTCTGTAACCCGAGTTTCTCTCCCGCCTAAGGAAGTGTCGTGTTTGCGTGCCACTTATTGCTGTGAGCACGAGTCAGAGAAGTTCTTTTAGGGCCCTCCCAGCGATCTCAAATTTTGAAACGGTGCGAGGTCGAAGAGGATGCGCAGTGAACTTCTGTGAGCGGCGCAAGGGGCCATGTCGCATGGGTGCTGCGTGAAAGGCTGCCCCGGTGGAGTCACAACCAAAACTATGATACACAGACACCAGACCCAGTTGTTTTGACCATTTGACAATTTTCTTTTCGAAGACTGAGAGGTTGTCGGGCACCGAAAAGAGAACTTAGTCCAATTCCCCGATCATCCTCAGTGCTACATTTGCCGAGCGCCGCCATGCTTTTATAAAGGATAAAAAGCCACGAGGCGACATCTTTTCCGGACTCCTACTTTCGATACTTAAAAAGAGGGTGCTAAGTATGTTAACAATTCTGTTAGAAAGCATGTTTTACGAATACCGTTATTAAATATTATAAAAAAAATGTTGCTTATGAAGCTTCTAAATTTCACAATTGATTAAGTCATAAATAAAAAGAAGCTAGGAGGTGAGAAGAGGGAGAGAGAAACACAAGAAAAAAAGGCATGCGCACACGTAGGAAAGTTTTTGCATTCTGGTATCGTTTTCTGTGTCTACGACTACAACTTTTATCGTTTTTGACAATGAAAATAAGTATGACCTTTGGGGTGTCAGTGCCCCTTTAATTTTTGCCTATTCTGCGAATAAAAAATACTTTGAACATACATGCTGCTCAACGGCAAGTTTACTCTCAATCGCAAAATTTCAATCGTGAACAGTGTTCCCAATGGGGACATGGCAAATGCGCAAAATATTAAGCTGTTTACCGTGCACTTAGTGCCTTGATTCACCCCGTACTTTTGAGGATGCATCACCACATTGCTGCAACCGTTTCCCCAGCTTTCTCAAGACCCAAGCTTCACGCTTTTCACAATTATGGGACCTTCCCCAAACTAACATAAGGAAGCTCTAAAATAAATGCTTCCCTTATTGATGAAATAGTGCAGAATACCGAACAATTGCCCAACCCAAAACTGGGGGATAACCTAGAGGATGGGGAATGGCACTTGTTAGACCAACAAACAAAAATGCAAACTGAGTTATTAAAACAAAAATACAGAAGGGGCATTGACAGGGTTGGGCATCAGCACTTTACACCAGGGTTCTTCGAGTAGCGGCTCCGGAGGACCTCATTTCGCTCAGATAACTGGGTGAGCACTTGACATGTCCATCGCTTACGTTTCAAACATTTCAAAAGCAGCAGGTAGCTGCTCATTGTGACCTTAGCACATGCTTGGTATTTTACAGTATTACAAAAAGAAGCAGGAAACAAAAAAAACGTTCAATTGCCTCGTCCGTAAGGGTCCAAAGCACAGACATTGCGGGGTAGCAATAAGCATCTTAAATTATAAGAAAAAGCTAAAGAGAGCAACAGCAAAAAAATGTTTAAGAGTTCTTATCGGTCAGCGACTTAATGAAATAAATGCAAGCTTAGGGAATTCCATGGTGAAGCATAAGAGAATCCTGCCACATAATTTGTTGAATTAACTTTTAGGAAGAGCTTTTGTCAGATATGAAAAATTATGCCAACAAAGGCCAAATCCAACACTGTTCCCATGGAATGTACAACAACCCTTGCAGACTCAATGCACTGCCAATCTTTGCAAGGGAAAAGCAGCCGAAAAGAAAACCTTGCCCAAATGTTATCTAACACGCACTCCTGGCTTTAGAAAAAAAAAAGAAAAATACAAAGAGCCTTGGCAAAAAGATATTGAAAACAGATACTCCAGCCAAAGGTCAGACAAACAAGGCATGCAAGCCTTGGTTTTTCCCATGCCCTTTTTTTACTGAGGGAAGTGTGGCGATACTAGCATTTGGCTTCCACGACACACACTTCCTGTAAAAAAAGAAAAAGAAAAAAAAAAAGGAAGAAAAACATTGCAGGAAAAGGGGGGGGGGGGGGGGGGTTTGTGAACTCATAGAGGAAATGTACAGCTGTCCTAGACCAAATACATTTACGAATCTCGCTGCAATTGGACTGCCATGTGCTGTGCCGACATGACACGACACAACACACCTGAAAAACCCCTGGCAGACGCTCTGAGGTGCACTGAACGCACGCCAAGAGAAACTCTCTACTACCGTAGTCTTCTGGGAATGCCCATGTGCTCCAGACTGTCTGGAATGGAATCTCAAGGGTGCCTGGCTCGCTAACCCCCTCTCCTTGTGGGAAGCCTCTGGATCCCCCTGAACGGTATCCAGTTAATGCAATGAGAGAGATAAGGCATCTCCAGTTGCTGCCTGGCCCAGTAGTCTGCTTATCTGCCCTCACACAGGAAGGGGAGCCTTTGCCCCTCAAGGGTTGAAGCCCTTTCGCAAGGCCAGACTCCTCAAGGCATCAAGATGGCAGGATGTACCCCCTTCCCCTTCCCTTTCCCCCACTAGCCTAAAAAAAAAAAAAAGTTTAAAGTTTTATATTTTTTCTAATTATTCTTTTCATGAACTTGATACAGCAACGTCTCCTCAATATGGAGGCCTCCGTTTCCCCCAAAAAGCATCCACAATGTGAGTTGTCCATAATGACAAGACGGCATTTTCATACCCCGCAAATTATGTCTCTATTAACCCTATTAACAGGGTCTATATTAAGGAGGCATCAATTTACGGCACTTGGATCTCCTTGAAAAACCTCAACCTCCAACATTCCGACCAAAGAGCCATACCACGGCTGTTTCAACATCAATCAAGAAGCAGAACTGTGTCCGAAAACCTACGCATACGATCCCAACACTGGCACTGAACCTCGCCACAATTTGCGTCTTTAAAGAGGAGTACGGCTAAAATATTACCGCAACGTAAATGAAAAAAAAAAAAAAGAACATGGAGATATGCCAAGAAAAGAAAGATGGTTCAGACAGGTAACTTGTTGCTCATGGGTATTGTTCGAGCCGAGCGAGCAGATGCCAAATATTAGCTAAAAAAAAAGAAGGAAAACGGCAAGCTGCTTTTCTGGCTAGCGGACAAACATGTGTAGGGGGACTGAGTTATCGAAAACAAACGCCACACCTCAAGGGAGCAGGTGTGCTCAGAGATGCGAGTGTGGCTGCAAGTCTTGTTGAATAATGCACGGATGCCAAGCACAGAATGTCGGAATCACTTTTCAGCCAAGTTATGCCATTCATTGCCTCAAAATTTACAAGAGCCTTAGAGGGCCGCAATTTTCATTGGATGTTGCAGCAACATTTCAATGACCTCTTTCTGGCGGTTGCTTCGTCTGAATGTGTTGAGAGGGGAGTGCTTTTCCCACTCTCGTCGAACTTGATCAAATTTGGTCAGGCCACAATCATTTGTTCCCGAAATGTGACAAATGCAGGAATCGGAAGTTTTCCGTGTTCTTATCATGAATGATTTTCGGATGCAGTCTCATTTTTCAGCGTGCTCTAACGAATACCTGTTTTGTAACCATCCACAGCCAGATGCACTGATACAGAAATGAAGCCGCCGCACATTCTAAAAGTTGAGGAACGCGGTTGCATTTCCACAGGTCAAACTCGGGGCTACCGTAAGACAAGGTAACCACTTGACGCAGGAAGGAAACTGTAGGGAAGTTGGCTGGCTCGTACCCAGTCAGCCTCCTTACGGCTTCCTCCTGTGTCAAGACTGTCTTACATCAAAAACGCCTCCTACTACAACGTCTTTTTCCGGCTATTCGAAGCTTCGGCTGACGTTTCCTTCACGATTTCCCTCCGCGTGTTTGAGGTAGAGTGTTCCTCTAGAGACAACCAGGGTAGGCCTACCAGGGACGGACGTAGCGTGGGGGGTCAAAGGAAGCGACCTCGCTACAGGATCAGCGACACGGAAACTTGGCGTAAATATCATCACATCATCATCAGCCATAACGTAGAGCGCAGCCGGAGGCCTCCGGTAGTACGGTCCACTGATCCTTTTCAGCAGGGTCGCGATCCTCCCTAATTAAATACTATTATTATTACCTTTCGTTTGGCAAAAAACGAGGGAGCTTGCGCACGTAAAATCGTACTTCGGTATTGCGTGGATCGTCAATTGGTGTTGCTCGTTCGGGTTTCCCTCAGAAAAGCGGCGACGGCAGTCTCACAGGCTCGGAATGTCAATTCGTCGGCCCTAACCTTTTATTTTTTTTATTATTATTATTTATATTTTTACGTCAACGGGCAGTCATGTTGGAGCTTCCGGACCGCGGCTACTACGAGCACGCTACGTGTCAAGCGACACACGCTTACGGATAGTGATCAACGGCGAGCCTGAACCGCGGCTCGAACCCTCCTGAGCGAAACGGGGAGAACCACCGTTAAGCGCCAGCGATTCGCCTTAAGCGGGCGACGCTCGTTCACGAACGCCCGGTAGCCTGGGGGCTCGTCTAGCCTTCCGGCAAATCGCGAAAGAGAAATTTAAACTATCTGTGTCACGCTGAGAACGGAACAGGCTGACACCCCTCCGAGTCGTACCTAGGCCTAAGCGATAGACGTAACTCGCGACTGACAGATTCGCCGGTTGACTGCGAAAGTAACAGCGGCCGCTGCCGACTGGAATCGGTTTCGGTGCACCGAAGGGCGCTAGGACGACCTCGGGGCGGAACCTTACCTTTTCAGCTGCAGCAGATCTCCTATGACAAAATAACAGGTGTATCACCGGCAGAGCCACACGATCACACACACACGCACACACTGGCAGCCTCGGACCGGCGGCATGAGACGCCCACGGTCATTGGCCGGCTGGTGGTCACGTGGGTCAATTAGTGCCGCGTGGTTGGCTAGAGTTATTTCTTAGCTTTGCGGTCATTGGTGGGTATCTGCCACGTCGGGAGTCGCCGAGCAGACGAGGGTCGAGCGTTTTTCCAACTTGCGGTTTCGGAATCGTATGCACCGAGGGCATTTTTCTCGCCTTGGGCCGAGAAAGTCAGAAGGAAATTTTATTCATATATTCACTCTCTTCTACATTTATTTATATGATTCACTAGAGAAAGCTTCGCGCGTGCATCGAAGGAATTTTCGTAAAAGTCTGAACTTTATGAAGAACATTCGAAGAGCCTTCCGGAGAAAATGATTACCTTCGCACGAGGTGCAAAAAAAATTCCCAAGTTTTCCACTTTTCTTCTTAAGTTAGACTGACTCACTGAACTCAAAAACGTTCCCTTCTTTCACATTGGAACCTTTTCGACAAAGTTGCAAATCTCCAAAAGAAAAAAGGAACACACTTTTTTATGCAGTTATTTTAGTGAAAATTTATAATCTCAGCTACATAACGAGCCCTTCTGTTGCTTCTCATTGCTTTCCATCGCTCTCGACCTAATTTTGATCTTAGTATTCGACAAATACCATTTCTTGATTCGACCGACCAACCAACCCACCAGTTGTAGTAGTGACTCACAGATGGCGCCACCTTTCCATACCTTCACATCAAGGTCTTCACTGTCCTCCATTTTCTCACTCTATCTATTACTATCCAGAGTGTAGGGAGTAATGGCGGGCGATTTAAATTCCCGTGGAAGGGGCATCGCCCACGCTGGGGCGTCGGATGGTGTGGGCCGCACCGGCTAGGCTTGACCTAGCTCTGCAGGCAAATAAAGACGTTTATTCCTCCTCCTCCTCCCACTATGTTCTGATTTCGGTTATATTTTTTACTCGCGTTCCGTGTGCACCCCTGTAAAAATTCGCCGACTCTGGTGGAATCTTTCAAAAAGTGTGCAACGCTTTGCTACCCTACCCCTCCCCGAAATCTCCGAAAGACGTAAGGTTGTCATTTTCACTAGTATGTTAGGTCGCCGAGTGATGGTTTGGTCCCGTTTCAGAACAATGAAGCATGTTGGGCACTGTTTACGTAGATGCTCTCCCGCGGACAATATGAGTGAAACACACGATCTGTCTTCTTTCCGCGTCTGTGGTTTCCACAAGCTCAATTGCCTCTTGACTTGTACAATAGACCGATGTGCGGAACCTCAACTTCGCATTTTGTCGGACCACAGGTCCCTCAAAAACTGATAGGAACGGCAAAAGAGCATGAGGGACTGCGACATTATTTGAAGCAGCGACTGCGTGACGGTGCAGGTTTTGGGAAGCGAATGGCGGCGCACAGCAGAAGACTGAACTGAGTGACGCCATTTTGTTGTAACGGTATGTGCTTTGTCATTTTTATTGGCTGTCGTTGCTTGTAAAAATAAGTATCAAAGGACTTCACTGTCAGCCACTTGGGGGCATGACTGCGACATCTTACTTGGCGCCGAAGAGACATTTTTCATATTATGGGAGGTCTTGTGCATAAGCGATTCCCTCTGGTCTCTTACTTTGTCGTTCCCTATGTGGTTGGGGTCACGTCTTTATCTTCCTTAGTAGGTTTTCCGCCACCGTCAACAAAACTGAAGCTACAGGAAGCCGGCGGCGCTGAGTCCTGCAACCTGCCTCCTTAAGCTCTCCTGTAGAGTATGCATGGTGTCAAGACTTCTCACGCGGTGCTCCTTTTAACTAGCTTCGCGTAAGAAGAATCAAAAGGCAAGAGTTTCTTCTTAGTGCGAGGGTGATAAAGTCAACACACATGGCGCTCCGTGAACTTCTATTTTAGGTTAAGAGACTGCAAGAACATGTCGCCTTAGCGTTCGTGTGTAAATCTTAGTCGCCCAAAGTGTCGCGTGAAAACATCCAACAGTGAATTGACAACGCTATCATCCGAAGCCCCCCCAGGCGTTTTGGTCATACAGATAGTCATCAACAAATCGAAATACGTTACTAACACTGCTCGTATCCAAATTCTCGCGAATGGTTTGGTCAATCTTCACCAAAAAATTGTCGCAAAACACTGAAGTTACGCGTGCGCCTACACAAATTTCGTCTTTTTGTAAATAGAACCTGAGCTGTTCCAAGAAACCATCAACTTACCCACACCGCTAGTACTCTGAAACTTCACCACACCGTTGTTGTTGATACGCTCACGCACCGACGCGAAGAGGCTCTCGTGGAGAACAGAGTAAAACAAATCAACGATGTCGACAGATAACGCAGACGCGTCCGCGTGAGTACCGGAATTCAAGTACTCCACCACCACCTGTGTTTCGCACCAAAAATGGGTCACTAAGTTGCAGGGTAGTTAAATGCTCCAGATGGTATTGGTTTACCAGCCGCTCCTGTTTTGGTGACAACTGTCCTAAAAGGTGAACCCTCCGCATCTGTTCAGCCGTGAAAAAGGCTTCCAGGTGCCCAATCTTGCATTTCGCAATGCCCCTTTCCAGGTTTCGCAACTCAAGGCCGGTGAGCAACCTCAAAGCGGCGCTTTTGACTTTCTTCGGGTCGAGAGACGTCGGTTTGAAGTTCTTAAAAATGGCGTGCAAAAATTTCCGCTAAGTTTAGCGGACAAAAAATTCCCTGCTAAATTTAGCGGAAAATGTTTCCTGCTAAATTTAGCGTGGAACCTTTTCCGCTAAATTTAGCGGGAAATTTAGCGAAAATTTCCCGCTAAATGGGAGAGGAGCAGGAGAGGAAGGTACGGATGAAGAGGAGGGGCATACCCTCGTCTCCGTACCTACCCCTCTTCCTCCTCAAGAGCTGCGCTCTAATTCGGCGTTACAAGTCTTTCTTTTTTTCTTTTTTCTTTTTTGCGCGCTGTAATTCAATATTTTTGAAGTTCGGTAATTTGTAATTGTAATCCTTACCTTTTTCAAGTAACGGCCACAAGCCTGATACTAAAATTACCTCTAACTTGCCGGGGTCGCACTGCTTACACATCATGCAAACCACAGTCTGCGCACAGACTCGAAAGCGATTCACCGCGAGATCCCTGATTCGAATGCCGTATGACAATGAGTTCAAAGGAAAACACTTGGCAGGCGGCATTCGAACCAGGGACATTGCGGTGACTCGTGTTACTTTTGACATGTTGAAAAAATGATCGAAGCACATATCAAGTGTCAAGCCCCCAACTTCTGAACATGCCTATAGGGAGTATTCACTGAACGCCATATTTGTGGGGGCTGTTTAGAGCGCATGCTCAGAACGAGCTCACATTAATAGGTTGCTAAGACCGGTAATCTTGATGGTGAGGAATGCACGTTGCAAAAGAACTGTGGAAGCTCGCCATCAGCACGCGGTCAGCAGTCGCGCACACAGCTATGGCCGCCAGTGAATACGCCCTATAGCTGTCCGAGATGCTCGTCCTCGTCAGCAATCTCCCCGAGCACGCCGGTGCGATGCAATAAAGCTTGACGCCTGCGGTTTGGTGATAAGTGACGAAGCCCACCCCAAGTGCTACACCTACGTTTCTGCTCTGGAACCTCACAAAAGTGACAACCTGCAATTTCCGTTTTAACATTACCTCTGATATACAGGATGCCAAAAAAAAAAATACAGGGTTGTTTTTACCGCAAAAACAAACTAGGCATCGCCAAACGCCCATTCTCCGCCCAAAGGTAGCTCTAGAGGTCCCAACCAGACGTCAGAGTTTCAGCCCGATCCGATACCTTATTCAGAAGTTATAAGTGATTTTCTGAAAATTTCAACGGGAAAAATGGAGCCCATTTTTGCCCGTTTTCGGTTTCTGGTGTCCATAGAGCCCCATGTATTCGAAAACTTCGTCGGCCGCCATTTTCCCATTGAAATTTTCGGAAAATCTCATAACTTTTGATTAAGGTATCGGATCGGGCTGAAACTTTGGCATCTGGTTGTGACCTCTAGCGCTACCCTTGGGCGGAGAATGAGCGTTCGGCGATGCCTAGTTTATTTTTGCGGTAAAAAAGATCGTGTAAATTTTCATTTGTGACACCCTATGGTGTGTTGTTTCACGAGGAAGGCGCCACGTTACGCTCTAAACTTGCGCTCGACCGACACACGTCGAGGTAATATAAGTAATATGCGGATATCAAGTCGTCTGCTTCTTGCGCAGGAGTTGCGGTGACGTCAGAAGGACGACGAGCACTGATTGGCTCCGATTGAAGGAGAGTGGGTAGACCTCAAAGCAAGCTGCCTCGAGGTCTGCCCACTATCCTTCATTCAGAACCAATCAGAGTTCGGCGTTCTGACGTCACCACAACCCCTGCAAATGAAGCAGACGACTTGATATCCGCATAGCCCCGGGTAATGTGACCTTGACGTCAGGGCTTCACTTTACACGCGACGTCACTGGTATCGTGGCGTAACGTGACACCCAGTGTTACGTGACAATACTTGACGTCAAGTAACAATCGTCATCAGAGGGTCACGTCACGTCGCACACGCACAGCTCCATCTGCCTCATTCGCAACACATTTTGTGGGTTTCCGAAACCCTGTTTGGTTTGCTCGCCCGACGCCACCAAGTCTGCCATCCGAAAGAAGGCCGTCTCCGAATCCCATCGTCTGAGTAGCACGGGAGACTGAAGTCACGATACTAGACTAGAGCGACACATCTCCTCTTCGATTCAGAAGCATAGAAGCACCTGGAAGAGATTAGTCACCGACAGAGAAACACAATCCGTGCAGGTTCTGAGTCCGTGACTTGTTCACGCCGGGTTCACGCCTCATTTTTTCGATGAATGAATAGACAGATACGGCTGAACTTCTTTAATCGGGCGGCAGCTTGCGCCATCTAGCCTAGATGTGTTTGTCGGCGTTCCTATCGGCTAATGCCTTAATTTCGTCACTCGACAAGCAAAGCGTTTCTTGAGGTGTCAGCGACTGTAATCACACTTGGGAAAGACGGCCAACCTCCCGCATCCAGAAAGCGTTGGATTGCTACCTAGAGGACAAGGCCTGCGCATGACGTCATCATTAGTGGCTCCCCGACCAAAGCTAACTCGACAAGAGTCGCCGCAAACACGTCTGTCTTGGCGTCTCCGCGTATTAGCATGGCGCTAGTTGTAAGACGCTGCGAGGCGCTCTTGCGGCGGTGCTACGCGAACTAGGCAACGCTGCGCTCTTGATCCTCTAGTGATGACGTTTGGGGGGGGGGGGCCTTGTCTTCTGGAAGAGACCAATGGCGGCAGGACATACACACAGGCGAGCCTCCACGTTGATTGACGCGTTTATTGAACAGTACAGGACGGAGTACAGGGTAAGTATACAGACGCACACACGCGCACACACAGAGACGGAACCGAAAACTGCAAAGACAGGACAGGAAAAAAAGAAAAAGAAAAAAGGTGGCCCTCGACAACAGCACTGGTACACACAGGGGGCACGAGCAAATGAGGTACAGCAAGATCAACCATGGGGCCGCTCAATCGGAAAAGAACTACGACAGTCCGTCAGAGTCGATGGAGACGACAGCCCGCAGCGTCACAAAATAACCCCCTCCCCCCAACCCCCAAAAGTAAAAGTCTGAATTAGACATTTCGTTAAGTGTAACAAAGGCTCGATAGCACTTGATCGGGTTCCCAACGTAAAGCTCTCTCAATCGCTGTTTAGCTAATATAATCCCCCGCCAAATTTAGCGGGGAAATTAATGTCACGTGACATCATTACGCCATACGGTCAGACCAACACGAGCAAGAAAGGCCCGTGAAGGTTTCCCATATAAAGCCATTGCTTAAGAAAAAGTGTTGCGTGATGCAAAGCAGTAGGATGTGATGCCAAATAACCGCACAATTAATTGTCTGCTTCTGCGTTATGTATTTGCTGAGAAAAAAAAAAGTCAAACCGAAACTAGATGACCCCTAACGCGAATAAACGTGACCTCACAGATCCCGGAAGTCACATGGGTTCAATCATTTCCGGCAAAAGCGCCTTCAAAACCTTTTTATTTATTTTTTACAAAATTATATTAAGAGTTTTGGTTGTCTTAAGAAAATGCGTTTAACGAGTTACAATATTGTTTTCATTAAAATGTGTCTCAGGCAGATTATTAGTTCCAAAAGCGTTCCAAGTTAGATGACGTCACGACGGTGCGGGCCTGCCGTCTCGGCTAACCATGACGAAGGCTGTCGCTGTTGCGTTCAACTCGAGTTCCTTTCCGAGTCATGCTAGAGGACGCGAGCAACACAAATACATACAACTAAAACGTCCGTCGTTCTAGCATGGGGGCGGCTTCTGACGCAGAACGGTACACATTAACGGAGTTTATCTACAATGTGGCGGTGATCTGGGGACTCGCCCGTGGCTTCGGTCCATCGCACTCGTGGTAGGCCGTGGGCCAGTCCACCATGTGGACCTTCAGTCTTTTTTTTTTTTTTTTTTTCTAGAGGTACGAGGCAGGATGACCGAAGGGCTGTCCGAACAGGACACAGCAAATGCCGTGCTCTACAACAACAACAATATCAACGAAAATTCACACTTTGAAGAAAAAAGAGTGCACGTTGTGGAGCGCGCGTAAGTCTTCAGTGAGGACATCAACCACGCAAACAGCACGACTTTCCTTATCGTCTCATCGCCGTCATCTGTTCTCCTTTTTTTTTTTTTCTTCTGGAGGTTGGGAACTGAAGACAACAGCGGAGAACTTGATGACAGCCTGCAGAGCGTGTGAATGGCTGTACGAACTCACATGATGAGCACGCTCCAAGCCTTGGTCCGAGGCCGGAAGCGGAAAATCCCTTTCCCCCCGGCGAGAAAGTAAAATAAAATAATAAAACCGTCATAAAGCAGATTGGAACCGGAGGAAAACCTCCACCTTCTGTACAGCAGATGCTGTGACTGCAGTAAACGTATCCTGTTTCGACAGCCCTTGAGACGCACTTGAGAGGCACTGAGCTAGATTTCAGACGCCATGAATTTCCCAGAAGAGGCGCGCGGTACGTGCCTCGAGCATTTCTACAACAATGAATGGCGCCACTTTTTCCCAGGATTGAGGGGCTTTACTTGTACGATGAAGCCTTATACATCGTCACGAGGTGTGCAGTCGCGTGGACCATGTTTCGGTTAGCACACTCTCAAACCGGCGTTCCTTTTATATCAATAGACCGACCTCACCAAGCGTTCGGCGCATGCATGACGCCGCCATAACTTTAGTTCGCAGGAGGCAGGCAGCAGTGCACAAGACGGCTCGTGCCGCCTCATGCTCCACACGTGCAGAGCTCCAGCAAGGTTGTCGCACGTGCAGAAAGACTAAAGCTCCCTCGATGCATTGCGGCAGCGGTGGCATAGTCAAACTGTATACTTGTCGCTTGAGCGAGAGTTTGACTCTTCCATTGGGGCGAAATATTAGAATATGAGTTTACGAGTGCGTGTAACTAAACAGCGTTATATGTGTATTTAGGATTTTGGGGTATTATTGTTTGTAGTGATTTGTCGCATATTTCAAAAATTCTTCTAATGAGAATCCCAATTACTAATAGCAACCGACGCTGCAGTCTGCGTATTAGCTCTTCGGACGTCATGCGGAAATACGTAAGTATTTCCGCATGACGTCCGACATTAGACCCAACTCATCTTATCGCCCGAAAATTCAGGCTGCAAGAAAGTTGCATGTGACAAAGAGAAAAAGCATGAGCTTCGCAGTGCTACTGAGAAATACCTCGATTTAAAATTTTGTTCACTAGCCTCCAGATCCGTCACGCCACGTAAGCACGTAACACGAGTCTGTACAACGCCAAAATCCCAGAACTGAGATGTTAGTTAGGCAAGCCATCATATCGCAACATCCATGTTCAGTTTCGTAGTGTACACTTTTAGTACTCCATTAATGTATACAACACCAAAATAGGCTCGGCCCAACAATCATTGGTCTTCAAGAAGCTAACAACCAATAAAAGAATTAATCGGTATTATGCTCCAATGACCATGAAGTTTCACTAGCAAAAGGAGTGAGGCCGTATGGCCATTGGAGTATAATACGGATCGTCCTGTCATTGGCTGAACCGCCAAAGGAAGTCCTGTGATTGGTGCTAAGACAGGGTGCAGTACACGATAATTGACTTCTAAAAATGTTGCCTCGCACCCTTCAGGCCCATAGACATGGCCCTGCTGTTGATGTCCGCTCCTGGACCATTTTAGAGGGTCCCACCGACCCCCGCCACTCAGACATTCCCTGGACGAAAAAGAAAAAAACAACGCTCGAAGAAATAAAAATATACCGTCCTCTTCACAACCGTTGAGGCCATGGTGCATGATGAAGATGACTGGGCCAAAAGAGCGAGCGAGGTGCCGGTTCTTTCCACCGAAATACTGCAGCATCACGATTGGGAGAGGCTACCGTGGTCCTGACGGAAGCCAAGGTGTGCACGGTGAGCCACTCGCGGGGGAGAAAAAAAAAGGCACCTCGCTGTCTTTTCACCAAAACACCACGGATCGCTATGATAAAAAAAAAAAGTAGTTCCTTGTGCTCCTGTGTGCGATTAAAACAATAAATACGTTATCGGGTGGGGAATAGCCAGAGTGTATCTCTCAAAGAGAAACGCTTTTGCTCCTTTTTTTAAAAAATGAGCCCTATAAAAAAACTAACGGGCAATTATTTTTCTAAGGCACGCTGCAGAGCCTTCGCGCAAAACTCGAAGACGCCCTGAAAAAGATAATCCCATATGTAAAAACCTACAGCCTCTTTTGCTTGTATCCACGCATCGTTTTCAGAGGTGGTTTGCTGATCCCCAAAAGTTTACCCCTTAATACCTTCATGTCGTAAAACACTCGTGAAGCGGTCCTAATTCCGGTTGCCTACGAGCGAACCATTCCTTCCCGCGTATCATTTAACCGGGGGCTTTTCGTCGAATTGATGGAAGGCGTCCTCGCAAAGTCGCCGATCTTCCGGTGGAAGTCGGTTGACGGCCCCTGAAGGTCTCAAGCCCCAAAGTGGCTACGGGCAGACATCATGGTGTAGGTAGGAGACCCGGTTCACTTGCGGCGTGCTCCCTTGCTGCCGAAGCCTGTGTTGCCCACCCACGGGTAAACGTTGGGGCAGGGCTGGCACGTCTTCATGTAGCGGAGGCCGCCCTGGTACGGTACGTTGCACACAGTCGGGTGGTGGCAGGGCTCAGGGCGGTCTCGCGGGTTGCACTGCCAGGGCTCGAAGCTGTTGATCCTGTAACGATCGACAAACAGATGGTCACCCCTCGACTGTTATTAGCAAGATGCGGACTGGAGCGTTGTGGGACTTCCCAAGCTTATCCGATAACACCAGGAAGACAAGGCTTGCGAATGACGTCATCGTTAGTGGATTCGGCCTACAACCCGCCCCAAGAAGAAAATACACTCAAGCTCGAAGAGATTCGCCGCGGAGCGACAAACGCGTTTGTTTGGGTTTCGCCGGGTGCAAGCGTCGCCCTCGTTGTGAGGCAGTGCGAGACGCGCTGACGGCGACGCTGACGTAAGCTAAGTGTCGCAGCGTGGATCTACTGTAGGGGTCTACACATTATTAGGGAGTTTTAGAATAACGTACGCAATTTTAGCGCACGCTAGCGCTAAATTTAGCGCTTGTATTAGCGCACGCGACGCAGAGGAGTTCAGGGGTGGAACTCATGAAATGTACTTGGGAGCAGCCACGGGAGCAGCTGAAACAGCTGTTTTGGAGCAGGTTGGGAGCAGCTAAAACTACGCTCTGGAGCAGGCTAGGAGCAGCTCAGATCAGTTCTCATTGCACTTCAGCTTGTGTCTTAGACAACCACGGGAGCAATTTCAATCGTGCTTAGCAGCACAGACGAACATGAGTGGTTAGGAACCTAGGTAGATGGGATAACAGCATAACAGATGCGAAAACTTGAAACTTTGTGAGCCTTAATGAGAATCAAAAAGCAAGTACCCTATGTTTCTGAAGATAGCGTCCTTGATATTTTCTGAGAGGCTTTCAGCTGCTGAAAATGCAAACCAGCACTGCTTATCGCAAAACCCACACGTGCTCGACTTAGTAATTATATGTGCGAACCACGTGACGTGCGTAAGCAACGGACGTGCAGTTGCACGGAGGAACAGGGCAACAAATTTCGAGTTTATCCTAGGGTGCAACTCGATATCGAAGCAGCAGACTACGATTAACGAAGTTATCGTATTTGAAGCGATAAGCACACTCTTAGAAAAAAGGATCAGTATAGTCCTCCCTAAAGGGAGGAACGCTCTTGACACATATGTTCCTTCAGAAAGGGAGAAACTTTCGTCCCTTAAAGGACACATGCAAAGGAAAAAAAAAAATCTTTTTAGACAGCTTAGATGGAAAAAGGATGTCATAAAACGATTTTACAACGAAGAAACAAAATTTTTAGAGCTATATTTACGGCGCTATACGAATTTGTAGTTGGCGCTCGCGGGAGCCGCCGCTGGTCACGTGGTAGGCCCGCGCGCCGCCGCGCTGCGTCGCCGCCGCACGCTGAGCGTTGTGCGAACGCCGCTTCAACGCGTTTCTCCACGCCGCCGTCGCCGCCGCCGCACAAGTTCGTCTGCTTCGGGGCGCCGCCGCCGTCGTCTGACCGGCGCACAGGTCTATCGCGTCTGCTTGCGCTTTTTCAGGAGTTTCCTTTGGGCTCTAAAAGTTACTTATTCGTCTTGGTTTTTTGTTATACTTCAAACAAAGATGAATAAGTTACTTTTAGAGGCCATAGGAAGCTTCCGAAAGAGCGCAAGCACCACGTGATAAATAAAGACCAGTCACGTGATAAATACAGACCACTTTTCCGCGGTGCCCGCGGGCGCCAACTACAAATTCGTTTTGCGCCGTAAATATAGCTCTAAAAATTTTTTTTCTTCGTTGTAAAATCGTTTTATGGCGTCCTTTTTCCATCTAAGCCGTTTAAAAAAAATGTTTTTTTCCTTTGCATGTGTCCTTTAAGCAGGGGAGGAAAAGTTCCTCCGTCGACTGCATCTCATTATGGCGGCCACGAATCGAGCAAATCGAGCTCGGTAAGGCTTAACGAGAACACTAAGTCTATTGCACGAAGCGAGAGGAGCAGGAAATAAAAACGTAACACGAGCTTTCCGCGAACTGTATTTATTTCCGAAGTTTCTTTACCCCTGCAGGTAAAGAAACTTACGTTTCGAAAGCATGCAGTCACTCAGTCTTCTCATCGTCAGCACTGCTATGTTCAACGGAGACAACCGGCACTCAGTTCGCGCACTTTATGTCCTACCTTTGCGATTCCTCGAGCCACAATTCCTTCGTCAACCGTTGCGTCAACCGCACATCACGGAGGAGTGAAAATCATTCGCCCGCAAAACCAAAAGCCGCTCTCAAAAAAAAGCAAATCCGAAGCAACCTCTTGGCTTATCTCACTCAGCATGGTAACACGAAATTATGGCGTAGCCGCGTCGCCGCGTAGCGTAAAAGGATGTTAAATCGCTTGCCACCAGATGGCAGGGTCAAGCAGAGTAATCGCACGTAGCTAGGCTAGGTGGCGCTAGGTACCGCCCAATTCATGTTTTACAAAAAAATATTTTTATTTCCTTACGCCCAATTGCGTTTCCTTTTCTTCGGAATCTCTAACACATGTAGACACGTTGCGCACACTACAAACCCTACGAACATCAGGTCAACATATATTGAACGCATACACAGGCATCGCACATACAAACATCAATACAACAGCACACTACCCCGATCACTACTACCGAGCCCTGCGTTTCCGTCTTTCATAGTGGTCGTTTTGAACGTACGAATTTTTTCGGTGACTCCCTAAGCAAAAAAAAATATTCCGAACATGTTCATTTTTTTCCAGCAATGCCATACATCTGAGGCTATCTTTAATGGCTCAGGGGATGAATCTCTTATTAAAAAGAAGACGCTCGATCATGCCATAATTATTTGAAAGCCAATAAATCGAGCCGCTCCAATGTGGTTCCAAGCCATGAGTTTGTTTTCCCGCATGGCCCTTCGTAGCCAGTATTTATATTGTAGTGTTCGTTTTTCTATTTGTGCTGTTCGCGCAAAGCTGCAATTGCCGTCTTGAATTAATCTCTGTAGAGCGGATATCCACTCAGCTGGAAGTGATGCTTCACGGGCACAGAAATCGCTTTTCGATCAACTTGAATGCTTGATCAACTTGAACTTGAAATAAAGCCGCGACTTCCGACAACTGTTAAGTGTACGGAGCTGCGCCGTTGCGAGCTCGAAAACTTCTAGCGCTCATCCCAGCGCGCCACTTAGAGGGCAGTTTCTACAGGAACCGTAATATATTTAAACAGTAAAATAAAGGATAGCGTTTTTTTTTTTCGATTTTGCCTGTCTTTTTTTTTATGCTAAACTTCCATTATAAATATACGTACTTTCCGTCATACTTTCGTAGTGTTGTCTTTTCCCCAGAGCGCAATCGCTCTCGGGGACCGACAGTCACATTGGCCACTGTACGATAGGAGCTTACCGTTCAGACCAGCGTTCCAACATGACTATCCACACGTCGATCGACTGCACCTAATCCCTCAAGTGGTTTTAAACTCTTTAAAGGGACACTGACACCCCCCAAAATTTTTTTTTAATTTTTTGCCAGGCGCTTCATTATGGTGTCGGAGGACTACCCAATTAATATTTTGCAACAGAGTCGCGTATTTTTTTAATAAAGCCAAAAGACGCAACTGCTCGAAACCGAAACCGAAACCCGACGGAGGTCGGAGAAGTGGAGAGAAGAGAATGTGTGGCGGAAGTCACGTGGCTGCACCCGACCGTGTGTTTTTTTTTTTTTTTTTTCGGTAGCAGACGACATGCGGCGTATGGGAACTGCTCGCCGTGGGATTCTTTTGCAGTTATGTTTGTTCCGCTCGTTGTTCTGTACTCCAAGATGAGTTGTTTTGTACATTGAGGAGTTGGAGATGAGTAGTGAGTGCCCGTGGTGAATTTTGATCGGCTCCGAAAAGAATACACCCAAGATGTTGCGTGAAGAGCCGGCTCACATGTCCCGCGTCCGAAACACAAGTGGCATTGTGCGACAGAGTTTCCGAAAGATCAACGGGATCGGGACCAATGGCTGGCTGCAATTCCTGTAGACCATTTACGGGCACCTCGGAAAGCGGACGCTGATTTATATGCTCCTTGCATTTTGTGGAAAGTGATTACATTGAGTTCGCAGGTGTCAAAAAGGAAATCCCATACCATTTAATTCAGCGACGTGTCGTCCACAACATTTGTTTCTTATTTTTTTCTTTTTTTGTTTCTTCAGTAGTAGTTGTAAAAAAAAAAAAAAGAAATGTAGACATCAAAAAATATTTAGAAAAAAAAAAAAAAAAAGGTTTCACGGGGGATCGAACCAGGGCCTACCGCGTGTGAAGGGGACGTCTTTCCCACTGAGCTACTGGTGCATATCGAAAATGGGGTATCTCTTTCCTTAGTAATAATTCAGCCGATAAACTGTAAGTTGGAAAGTTTGCTGCCGATATTCCTCTAGCAAAAGCACTCCCGGGTCGAAGTCGGGATGCACCACGCATTCGCGACATTCTCACCTAGTAAAGAAATCGTACGCGTGCATATTCCACTCGAAGTAGACACGTCGTGCTTGACGTTTGCGCGAGCGATGTCTTCAGCCACGAGAAGGGAGCGACGGCTCGGCGACGTCTTCGTGCAAATCGGCTTGGTGGTCGGGCGTGTCGTACGGGATGAATACCAATTCTTTTGACCAGTCCCAAATTTCTCTTTTAAAGGCAGACAAAATTCGCCGGTACCGCGAACGACAGTTCTGAAATAGAGGTCCCACGTCCGTCGTCCGCTGCCATCGCCGTCCCTGAGAGTCCCACGATACGCGAAACGACGCACGCACAGAATGCTTCCGGTTGTCTGTGGAACTTTTTTTTCAATCAACGTATTTGCAGCTTTTTAGAAGCCACAAAAAATGGGTTTTATATTTTTTTCTATTTTTAATATTGAGTGTGTGCTTTCAGTGACCCACGACTTTGATTAAATTTGGTGGTCGCATCGATACCTTAGAAAACGGCCCGTGACCGCGGAAAAGAGAGTGAGCGAGACTCGAACCGGCCAGTTCTTGATCGGCGGTTTTCGGGCGGGAAGAAACCGAATTTCGAGCCGCAAATTTTGTTCTGGGTAGTTGAGCTCTCATATGTCACGTACAACTAAAAACCTCGGCGAGCATAAATACCCTGTCAGTGTCCCTTTAATGTAAAGCGGAATGTCATCCTGCGACACCCCGGCCCCTCCGATAACGGCCCGACCAGCGGCATCAATGCCCGACAGTTTACGTCATCTCATCTTGTTGTTACACCACTGATACGCGAACACACGGTCACATCGGCGATAATTCCAGTCTTCTGTTCACAACCCACAACACTGCCACACTGCCATCACGATGTCGCTGACACGAAGAAATACAGAACCACGTTGACGATGTTGCTGACACGCAGAAGAATCACGTTGAACGCCAGTTGGCACTCGGCACGGGACAACGGAACCGAACTCAGCACGGAAGGCACCCAGGCAGCCGGCAGGAAAACCTGCCTTCCTTGGACGCAGTTCCCGCGATTTCCATAACGTCGAAAACGTCGACACAGTTCCTCGTGGTTTCGCTGCTGTAGTTCCGCGTGTGTCCCGCAAATTGGAGACGGCCGTCTTACCCAGTGTACGTAGCGCTGCTGGCACTGCTCCGGAACTTCGCTGTTTCTAGCGGCTTCGTTAGCTCGTTTGATAAAATTAGTGGTAAAAACGTCAATGCAACCGAAATGTTCTGCACGTTTGTACTAGAAGACGGAATTACAGGCGGCCTTCGCTGCCGCTGAAGCTCAATCAACTCAACATGAATTTATTAAACAACGTGCGCGATGTGCTCGAAAAACGAAACCGAAAGAAGATGGGTCGGGAGGGCGAAAGCTTTCTCCGGTCTGCCTGGAGGAGGAAAACGTCTCGGAGAATAGTAAGGACTTTAATTTTCCTTCCATCGGTCTGGGTTTGTTTATGTGTGTTTTGGTAAAAAAAAAAAAAAAAAAAGAACTTTACAAAAAAAAAAAAAAAACTTTTCTGGGGATGGAACCGTTGACCACTTGGTCAGTAGCGCGATGTTCTACCCCTGCGCCAACTGAACAAGGAGGAACTCGCCTTCCTCCTTTCATCTGAACTGCCGTTCCTCCCTTCTCTGGGCAACTTGTCCGCGACAAGGAGGAACAGTCGCTTTTGCTACCTTTCTCCTCCCTTTTTTCTTAGCGTGCAGGAGCTAGGTTAATGTACGCCGAATAGATCTACCACTCGCGTAAGAGCTGCTGGCCGGCAAGGTTTCGGATCGGGACCGCGTTTCAGTTCCATCAAATCACGATTTATTTTGCGAGAATGCGGTTCCAACTTCGAACGATGAAGTACTAAAAAGAATCTTTCGCTCAATTGTTTTCAACTGGCTGACGTCCGGATCCCGGGCCACAGAGCCTCAGGCAATCTGAGGTTTAACGACTCGACCTCACCTTAGCCGACTTGCTTAACCGCTGATGATTGAAGGATAACAATCCAGTCGCAGGTGGTGTAGCGCTAAGAATCCGAGTTTTTTTCGCGCGCTTCCGACTCGGGATACACAGGGAGAATAAACAGAACAAAGGATTACAAGGCCCACCAGGCTAAACGGGCTAATTGTTGTCAATCTAGTCAATAAAACCGACACCAAGACAAAACAAAGTTTTTTGTCGCACGTTTTGCGATTTGGCGCATAATGGCGCGAGGTATTGGCTGTGGCGCAGTTTCTGCAACATGGCGCAGGTTGGCGCAGACACATGCGTCTGGCGCAAAATGGCGCATATGGCGCAGCCGTTCCACCCCTGGGAGTTTTAGAATAGCGTTTCTCCGCCGCGACGCAAAAGCCTAAGCATCTCGCGCTTGCGACGCCACCAAGATAGTCAAATTTTTATTTCACACACGAAATGATGTAACTTTAAAAGAAAACGAGTTTTTTGGTCCAGAGTATCATTTTAATTTGTTTAAACATGAGAACACGACGCGAGCGTTTAAAGTTTAAACATGAGAACACTGGGGAAGCTTATCAGACTTGTTTATTCTATCTTACTTCTTCTTTCTTCTCCCCCCAGTTCTAATCGTTGTCGTCTTCTTTCATCCCCAGGCTCACTTCATCTACTATAAGGATGACGCAGGATGACGTCTGGAGGAAGCTCCGCCCAAATATTTTAATAAAGCGTCACCTCTCTCTCTCTCTCTCTCTGGAGGAAGCCTTGTTTTCTGGGTGGTACCGCAGTATCCAGAGGGTACAAGCTCAAGTGGCGACAACTGCTTTCGCTCTCTCTCTCTCCCTCGCTCTCTCTCTGCAAGGGAGCCAAACAACGTGCGGTACACTCGCCTTTCTTCTTTTTTTTTCCCTTTTTTGTAAATGATAATTTTAATATGTATTCAAAATATACGAGGGTACGAGAAAGCTATTGCAATTTTCGGTTTGTACTTAGTCATCATTGGAGAACAGGCACCTCCAATTATAGCTTCGATTAACTCAATTCCTTTTAGACGTTTTGCCGAGTCTGCAAATGGTGATAACATCGATTACTGCGTCCGCAACTTTGGTTTAAAACACGCCGTCTTACTGTTGATAAACATTAGAGTTTGCAAGCAGGAGACGTGGGCACTTTTTCTCTTTCGAATATCTGATTCGCCGAGCATGCTCCATAGATTGCATACGATTGGGATTGCGTGTGCTCTGCGGCAAAGCAAAGCGCGCACATTTTCTCGTCGCATATATCCTAGTTTAAAGCGGTGCTGGTAATGTCCCTTTACATTGTTCTTTTTAAGTAGCAACAACCACCCGTGTCGACGCACAATTTTGCGGGAACATAAAGGTACATCCCGCGGTTCGTTCTACTGCTATGCGCCTCCATGCTTTTTATAAGAAACCCGGACAGTTGGAGCCTCGAAGGATGTCGTACTTAATTGCATTAACAAAAATCTAAAAAAAATCTGCAATGCCTTATGTTTGGCAACTTCAGGTCCTGGGGCCAGCGGCCATCGCGGGGCGGGGCGCAAGTTCCGAGGGCACCGGCGGCGTTGCGTAACGGGCGAGGCGACGGACTGCGAACGCGAGCTCGCGAGGCCTCCGAGGAGTGTCAGGGCCGCCTTTGTCGCCTGCCATCTCAGGGGCGCCGAGCACTCGCCGGGGGACGGCCTCGCCCTCACTTCCCTCCCGTACGCAAAGCCACCCACCGCGAAGGGTGTCTCGAGAGTAGAGAGACGTGTGCTCATGTTCTTCTAGCGAGACTCGGCAGGGATACACAGGGTCGCCCTCTCACAACTTCCTGAATGTATATTGCACCACGATGTTCTCGAAACACCGATGATTGGTCTTTCTTCAGTCTGTTCAGTCAATAGAAGGGCCATCGGTATCGTGGTCCAATGATCATCTGGTGTCTATGGCATAAGGTCACAGTCACACAGCTGATATATCATACAAACGACAAGCGTTCGCTGCTGACGTGATAACATAATTATCTGCAGACGTGCCTCACGCATGTTCGAATCATGTCTCCTTTATACATATATTCATGCTTATAACATGTTGGCAGACAGTGTGTATATGACCACCGTCCTACAGAAAGAAAAACACATCAGACAGTGTGAGCAGACCGTCATTGGTATGATGACCGGTCACACAGACAGCGTCTGTGTGACCGCCGCTTTTGTCTGTTTATCCTGTGAAGAGTATTGTCTGGTCTTTGTGGTAAAAGGGCTGCCACACAGACCGCATGGCCATGCGGTTGTGTATCACTAGTGCGTGATGCGCGCTAAAGACCCCATGGCTATCAGTGGTATTGCACTGGCGAAATTGTTTATCTACAGCGGTGACACAAGACACCCATCGGGACTAACTAAATTTCTGACGTGTAAACCTACATACCAAGTATATGACACCGCCTGTCCTTCTAATTGACCGAACTGTTTAGATGGAGACCAGTGATTGATGCTTCCAGTTCATCGCCGTGCAGTATATACAAACCCAGAGAATTTGAGCGTGTGCCCAATTTGTCACTTCAAAACTGCTTTGCGGGCGGTGTTTGGAAGTATTAGAGGTTGAGAGATTAGCCTGGACTTTTAAGTCACGTCCTCAGAATTTGACCGTTTCCGCGAAGCTGCTCGTTCAAAACTGAAGCTTACAAAGACGTGAAGACGAAGACGAGCAATTCGTTTTTCCTTCACGATCCATCTCCCGGCATGTTGTTATCTCGTGCAGTTCGCTATGATACGGATCCAGAAATTAAATTATGTCAGGGCCGATAAGGCGGCAGTAACAAAGCGAAACAAAAGGTCTCTAAGCTGCCCCTGAATTAACGTAATGTAGGACACGACGATACACGAGGGCTTGCCTCACAAGACTGGCAAACAAGAAGCGTCTCTAATACATCATACATAGGGCAACCTGCAAACGCTCTCTGGCCCGTGTTTATTGTATGACGGTGCTGCCTCTCACATTGTGTCGCGAAAAACTGTCTGCCGACATACTCGAGGCAAGCATATATGTATGATTTAAAGATGCTTCGAAAATATTGGAGGCATGTCCGCAGGTAATTGTGTCGTTATGTCTGCGTCGAATACGGTGTTCATTTTATAATGTATGAGCAGTGTGACAGTGGCTTTAGGATGATGACAACATAGCATCTTGTGGCACGATGCTTACTTTGTTTCGTTTTCTTCGCTCTGCCCTATACGCTCGAGAGAAAAGCGCGTCACCCACCTGGAGTTGGGCGTCGGGTTCCGTATCCACTGGATGAGCTGCCAGTTGGTGACGAGCCAGACGTCGCCCTTGGCCAGGATGGTGTCCAGAAAGCGCAGAAGACCCTTCTTGTGGTGCTGCGTGTTGAACCAGGCCGAGTGGTAGAAGAGATTGAAGGGCGCCCTGTTGGACTTGTAGTGGCGGTTGAAGTTCTTGAGTAGCATCTTGTAGACGCCGTCGTCGTCCGGCGGGTTCGAGCACGCGTCGCCCATGGAGCAGCGGCCGCCGCGCAGGTCGATCCACATGACCATGCCGACCTCCCAGACTCCCGGGAAGGACTTGCTGGGGCAGGGAGTGATCATGCACTCGTGGTTGATGGCATAGTCCAGGGTGTACGGCCAGAAGGGAGGGTTGTTCTCGAACACGGGCATGGACGAGTCGTAGGTGAAGTTGGCCTCGTGCAGCATCTCGAACATCTTGTTGCCGCCGATCTGCAGGAACGGGGCCCGCATGCCGCGCACGTCCTCAAGCTTCACGCCGCCGAACAGGCTCAGGATCTCTCGCTGGCCGGCCACCTCTTTGAACCACTGCTGCTTGGAGAACTTCTCGCCGAAGCTGTGCCTGTAATCAGAGAGGAAAATAGGCTATATATAGAAAACGATTCAGAAGACTTATCTATACTCGTCCCGATCCCGGCTACAGTGACTAGAGTCGCCCGCCCTTCTGCATTCGCGTTCTTTTTGCCATCGATTCGCCACGGTGCATTAAGGCCACATCTGCTGCCACTGGGGTGGTCTCGCTGTTAAGCGTGTACCTTCTGCAGCATTCTGTATGCGCCACCGGATTCAATATACTCTGGAAGAACAAGTAGTAAAGACTACTAGTATTGTGGAATGACGTCACGTGCAAGCCCTATATTTTTAACTGAATTCCTCTCAACATTCGGTAGCCCTTTACTTTAAGACGTCCCTGAGTGGGTATTGCATTTGATGGATTCTAAACATTAATATTTGGCTTTTCTTTTAGCACTACCCATGATAAAGGTGACCGATATTATGTTCCAATGGCTCCATGCTCCAGTGGTAAAAGTAGGTGGACGCATCGTTGACCACTGCACGAGGAATGCATGACCTGCACGATGACGCGTGCCCTTTTCTTTGGTTAAAATGATTAGGTGATGATATATAATTAGTCTCCTAAGCGCATCTCGGGGAAGCACACATGCAGGAGCTCCTGAGATGATGCGTAGGATAAACGCTATGGTTCCTGATCATGGTACCTGAACCTGCGGAAAGCTGCACTACACAAGAGGGGCTAAAATCTCAGGAGAGCCACAGTACTGGTGACGTGCGTGACCAAAGGCGTCGCTGTGGACGGCCTTTTTCCGACTATGACGTTTCTAGTGAGATAACATGTGATTCCATCGACAGTAATAGGGAAATTTCGTGAATCCTTCCGATACCCTTGATAACAATACCCGATAACATTACGACGCTTGCGCAAAAAAGATCGGCGGAGTATCGAGTATCGTTATCAGAGACATTGGAACGATCTAATAAAACTCTCTAATAATAGTAATATTAAAGTGTGAACTTTGACGGTCTTTATTTAAGAATGCGAGGACTTCAAACTCGTACACACACCACCGAATTTAAGGTGCGCAAAAGATAACTTTGATAGTAACATATATTCGAGTAAATACACTTATAGTCTGCCAAGATCAACAGCATTGATGGTGCGAAGTGAATTTGGTTAAAACTTGCCGCCAGCACCTGTTCAACAGCAACGCACACAACCATTACTGCCCGTAAATATACCCTGCGCGGTCCTCGTGTTGTAGGATTACAACGGAGAGATGTTCGAATCTATTAACCTTCTCAGAAGTGTCTGACGCTTTGCGCTTGTTCAAGGCTGACCACTGCAGGCCGTCCGTACGATTATCACGTGACGTGACGCGGAGAGAGTCACGTAAGCACAGCGACTTTCAGGAATGCGCGACTTTGTGTGCGCTCATGGTATGCAGTTCTTTTTCCAGAACGCTGGCAATCTATGCACGTTCGCAAGTTCAGCTGTCTGTCGAGGTCTCGAAACCGACAGGTATACGCTCTGAAAACAATTTCCAAGTGACAGACGTCTTCGGGTGCGTGGCGGAAAACCCAATTTGCATAATATAAACCCTGCCTATTCTATGTACGCATAGACTTTCTTTATTTGTTCCTTCATTCAGTTCATATAATGTATACCCGGTCTATGCAATATACACCCAGCGACCATCGGTAACGGACACTCGCCCGTCCGACGGTGATCTGTTTTCTATCGTGTGAACATCGTTTGGCATTGGGCCAAGCAGACAACCAGGCACTAAATCAGATGCGGTATTGTATTGCCGCTAATGTATGCTGAGATCTGCTGGAAATTTGCTGTCAATAGAAACTAAGCCGGTGAAGAAGAAAAAAAAAAAAAAAAAAGGAGCGACTGCGTTTGTCAGGGTGTAGCGCGCCTGACAAACACATTCAAATGAGTTTAATATGTTATGCCGATAAGACTGTCGCCTACAAGGAGACTATCCTAGCACTCATTCTCCGGGCTCATTTGCCATGCAAAGACCAGAAGCCGAGTTCAGTCAGGGCTCCAATGAAACTAAAAGTAAGTACTTCTAACAATAAAAAAAAGAACACTTTTTTTTTGCGTTTTCTAGATTTACATATACTCTCAGTTGTTTACCCAACTTGTTTTCAAAGCATTTTAACATAAATTCTTTACCCAAAACCCATACAATTCTTTATCTAATGTATGATCAACTGTTTACGCAAAACCCGTACAATCGTTTACCCAAGATACATAAAAAGCATTTGTGTACATCAATATTTTACCCAAGACCCATACAATTGTATACTGATACTGTTGTTTACCCAAGTTGTATACAAAACATTTGCATACATATATTCTTTACCCTCAACCCATACAATTGCTTCTTTTAGACACATACAAAGCAAATGAGTTTCTGTGATGTGTAAGAATTAGTCACTGTTACACACACGAAGGAAAGAATTTGGTCAAGATTGGTTTTCTGAAATGTCAGGAATGTCAGCTGATTATTATTATTACTATTATTTTTATTATTATTGTTATACTAATGTATTCTTCAAGGCGCACGCATTCAGGCGTTCCAATTATTCCACGAAAACATTAAGAAAAATAATCGATCCTTTTTTGTTCCCTCGCCAAGAATGACCTTCTATCGGACGTTTATTCATGGCGGCAGGTGAAGGCTTCTGTATAAGTATATAGCATATGTGTAAATCACCCGTTGCTGCGGTGGTGGCTGAATATAGGGTGGTAGGGGGGGGGGGGGCATTCACTGAGTCACATATTTGAGGTCGTTGTTCGCAACGCATGGTCCAAAGCTCGAATTTACCGTCTGGCAAGAACTAATGTCTTGATTGAGTGAAATGCACGTTGAACGTGCATAAGCGTGCATTCCACTCAATCAATATCATTGTTCTTGGCAGACGATGAATGGGAGTTAGCTGGGAGCGCGCGCTGCGACTCCCACCTTGTTTCTTTAGTACGGACGCTATTGCGAAATGAAATTTATGCCCTGTTTCATACTTCGTGTGAAACGCTGTCGAGGATACTGGCGCGAGCATGGGGCTTGATCTTGTTGATAATTTGCACGCGTTCTCGCGCAAACCAAACCATAGATGAAGCCACGCGCTCGCGCCAGTGTATAGCTTTGACAGCGTTGCACGCTAGGTATGAAACAGAGTGTAAAGATGCCGGCTACACTGCAATGTCGGCATGCACTGCCCCGCTGGCGGGTACGCACGCACATGCGGCATAGGAGCATGAAGTGCGTCCGAAGAAAGAACGTTCGCACTTTCAGTAAATACCGGTGAGAATTAGTCCTTGACACTCAAAACGCACGAAACGCGCGTTACTTTTTTGTTTCCTTGCAACAGTAGTCACGGGAAAAGTTGGAGAAAAAGGAGCAGCGTTCACCGCCTCAACTCGCAGTCCGGACCAGCGGTCACGCGATCTGACGTCGATTATGGGCCGGCAATGTTCATCGTATACCCACATGCTCGAGTTGACAATGCACAGGGCACGGGGTACGTTCCAGACATTGTTAGGTGCTCGTGTCCAGTCTTTGAGCCCTATTTGATATGGGGTGATACCCGTGACCACGCCAACGTTGCGATCCTGTGATTACGTCACCACGGTTCGCTAAGAAGAGAGAGACAAAAAAATTCCGCTTTGGTCTTTGAAATTTTACAGCGACCAAGAAGCTTCTTGTTCAGTGGCGTTTCTTGAGGGTATGTGTAAGTTAAACAAGTTCCACCAAGATTGTGCAAAGTGAGAAACATTTCAACCCAAACCACTCGCACGTCCCCTTTAAGAATGTTAACCGTTTATCCTGTGCATCGGCTAATCCTTAAAAACAATGTTCTACGCCGTTGTTCTTTTGAAGGGCAAGCGAGAGCTCAAAGTGACTGGGCTGCTAGGGTCTCCTCCGAGTGAAACAAGCGCTGTGCTCGCACCGCCAAGTCCGGGTCGTTCCTTAACTACGGCTTTGTTTCGCGTTGGCAAGATTTCCACGCGACCTCGGTCGACGCCTCGAACGCAATCCTTCGACGGGTTGCTTCGTCGACAAGCGCGATTGTTCCTCCGGGGCCAGCCGCAGCCTTGGTCTAGAAAGCGCCGCCACGGCGAATCTCTCACCGAAGCACGAGACAAGCACTGCTCCGCTGCGAACGCGACCGCAGCAAGTAGCCGCGCTATCTCCGTCTGGAGAGCTCGCGACGTTCTACCCAAATGCTCGACGTAGAACGAATCTTTAAACGCACACATTAGTGCGCCTTCTTGCTTTTCATTTTCTTTCAGCCAGTGGAGGATATACCTTCTAGAACTCGATATGGAAACGCATAGCCTTATTTAAAACCACCGCCGCTCTTTCAAAGCTTAGTGGTTTTGTTCGCGAATGGAGCAATACGGGTCTCTTGATCCTTTTTCACTCGGGCTCCAATGATGATCGGGTTTTTGTTTATCCTGTTTTCGAGATGTAGACTTTGTGGGCTTAAATCGCGGTCACACTGGTAATACGTCACACAAAAGGCAGAGTGCAGACACTGTCCGGAGAATGTTTCTTTCTTGTGTGATGGTCCTGTTATAATGGCTGTCTGCGCCCGCGGCGAACAGCGTCTCTCTCGTATGACGTCTGAACAGTGCGCCTTAAAACTCCATCTGGAAACAAATAGTCTCATTCAAATCATCGATCGCTGCGCTTACAAGGCTTGGTTGTTTTCCTCGCGAATGAAGGTACTCAGAACCCCCGATCTGTTTTGACTTGGACGCAAATGATGATCGAGGAGTTGTTTATCCGGTCTTGGGGATGTAGACCTAGGTGCTTTCGGAGTTGTTTAAGTTAGTTCTGATATCAAACCGAGGAATCTCGAAACGTATATTACTTTATCGATTAGCTTACTACGAGAATGGATGATGGAGGAATTGTTGCTTGGACGCGCAAAAAAGCTATGCAACACTGTGTTTCAAATAAAAAAAAATGAAAACTAAAAACAAACAAATATATGTATATATTTATATATATGGAAGATTTTGTA